ATTGATCATCTCGTCACTCTCGCAGAAAAGAAAGGCAACTGGGCACCGGAGAGTTAAGGATTTAGCACCGCCCATTATGGTTTGTTACTTTGTTTGACCTGTATATACTTATGTTAATGTTGTTTATATCCACTTGGTGAAGCTAAGAAAAGATCGATCTAAGTGATAGTTTATAGTGGATGTAGATTAATTGCTAAAAAGAAGCAGAGATATTTTATTCCTAGCAGTAAAACCCGTGAAATGTACTCTCTCCGTCCCAAAATAAGTGCAGTTTTAACACTGTTCATGCTCAACGTTTGACCGTTCGTCTTATTTGAAAAACAATTATGATTAGTATTTTTATTGTTATTAGATGATAATACATGAATAGTACTTTATGTGTGACTAATATTTTTAATTTTTTTCATAAAATTTTCAAATAATACGGACGGTCAAAACGCTGGACACGGATATCTATGACTGCACTTATTTTGGGACGGAGGTAGCTGTAGCTTCCTAAAAAGAACGACATACCGTAAATTGACCTGATTTATTTTTTCCTATGTTAATTTCTGTCGTCTGTATTTCTAGTCCATCATAGGCAATGTTGCTGTCTCTCCATGATATACAGATGGCTAATTGACAATTGCAAACCTGTTCCTTATTTTCTATTTTCTACTTGGATAATAGTAGTGCCTAATTATTTTGTACATGGCCTTTTTTTGGTGTCTAACTAGTACTCCCTCCATCTACTTTTGATAGTCATATTTTATCTTGACACACAGACCAAGGATAAGTGATTCTACTTATCATCCATTTAAATATGCTACTAGTCATTCCTCGTAAACAAGCGATTCATTAATATTTACATTTCTCGATGCTCATGCAACCAATCTTGTGTGGAAGAATGAAGAGTCATGTATTAAATCCAAGAAAGTCATTAAGATGATAAGTTGTTGGATTGAAATATGCCTATCAAAAATAAAATTTTCAGATTTAGAAATATTACTATCAAAAGTAGATGGAGGAAGTACTAGCTACTAGGAAACTTTACCCCAATTCAAGCAATAAATAATTAAGCTGTGAGCAAAGAAACTTTCTTTAGTCTTACAATCAAATCATTACCATTGAGAAAGGTTAAGCATTAACCACGGGTTTACTTTCATAATTAGCTTCCTAATTATTGTACTGACCGTACTTTTCCAGGGTCATGCAAAACCATGGGTACATCTTAAAGCTTCCTCCCAAACAAACCAAAAGGTTTCAAAAGCTCCCTTGAAATGCATTGAGGTCTAACTCCGGCCACCATAATTTTCTCCTTTGTATCTACTACCTTTATCTTCATTCATACACTAACAGTTAATAATTAATTGAGATAGGGTAAACGTCAACTGTTTGCTTATTCGCCTAATTCCTTGCTACTCTGTTTCACTTTCCTGCTCAGGAATACTTTAGAAAACAAGTTGTTTTCAACTGGTCGGTGCTTAACAAATCTTCAGCCACTCTATCCTCGAATAAAAGAAGAGATATTCACCTCATCGTGAGCTCACGTGGTTCCCACGAAGCATATATGTTAAGACAGAAATCCCCCTAAGGGGAGCAGCACCCTCAAGGGGTCATCACTTCCTCCAAAGAATGATATCTTTTCTCCCTATCAAAATCCACCATAATAAGACTTGCGTATTAATTATATATGTACTTACTCCTGCATGAGATGCTTGAGATAAAATTACCAGTAAATTGTTGGTGCTGAACAACACATGTCTTCTTGATGCATATAACCAATTCGATATTCTTTTCCTTTTGGGTAAGCAACCACACATCCTTGGCTCCTTGCTTATGGTCGAGGTATCTTATCTTACTTTCTTTTTTATGTATTATGCTGCTTTTCATTCTTTTTTCATGCATTTATCCGTGTACCGTCAAATTTAGCATCATAGAAGACATCTAGTAGTAATTTGGGTTGAGTTGCACGCACAAATCAGCCAGTCCAACCCACAAACTTGAACTAATGAGAGGAGCAATTCATTTATACTCTAACACTCTTCCTCATATCATCATATGAAGGCTTCCTCAGATCTCAGAGGTGGAATAGAAGTGAGTTATCTCTTTATTTGCGTTAGCCAGCACTCAAACCCAATTATCCGTAACCTTGACACCATACTGAATTCCACGTATGAACCGATTTAAGAAAAAAAAATTAAGCTGATGGAAGGAGGACAATTCACTTGTGTGCTCTAACAGTTTGTATTCGCTAGCTAAGATATACTTCTACTTGGGGTTACATTGAGATTGTTTGATTGAGGCATTTTTATGATATACTCCCTCCATTTCATTTTAAGTAGCCATAAGTTTCCATATTCAACTTTGATCATCCATCTTATTTAAAAAATGCTAAAATTTATAAAACATAAGTCAAGCATAAAGTATTATTCATGTTTTATCATATAATAAAAGTACTAATCATAAAAAATAAATAAATAAGACGGACGATAAAAGTTGGATACGGAAACTCATAGTTGTGTTTAAGATGAGACAAAGGGAGTATATAAAATGAAAATTCATGCTTAAGCCATGTATAAGGCCAGTATTGCACATAATATCGTCATCACTGAGTATAGCAAATTGGAGTTGCAGTTGAAGGTGAAGTCTCGTCATGTCGATGGATGATGTAATAAAGTAACACACGAGTTAGCGTAATTAGCTAGAAAGACAAGACACTATTCATTTGTGCGGTTTGATGATTATGTTTCCACATACGTACGTACATTAACTTGTACAAGAACTTAAGTTATTCTCAATAAAGCATCCTCTTTCTTGAAAAAAAAATTGCACGCAATAAAACCATGAATAATACAGTTGCCGTGCCAACATGTGCCTCTGACTCTACAACGTTTCTTCTTTCCTGGGAGAAAGCTGTTGGGACTTTATCGAGGCTAGTCTTTGAAAAAGAGGCCTACAGAAAAAATCCCCGTGTGCTGCTGTGGCGCAGACGGCGGCCGGTGGAGCGACGGGCCCAGCAAAGCCGGAGGAAAGCACGGCGCCGTCGCTTTCCGCGCGTCCTTGTGCGGGGATCAAAGGGGAAGACGCCACGGACGGCCCGATGCGCCCCAGCGGCACCTGCCAAAATCCCCATCGGACGGCCGCCGTTGGTTCGGCGGTTGCCGGCCTAGCCCCAGTTGGTCCTTGTCCTCCAGATTTGCGAAACCTAAACGTCCAGAGAAAGGAAAAAAAATGTTTGTGGTTTTGCTCGTGGTCAGCCACTGAGGAGTGGGACCGAAGGTGATGTGTTGACCTGCCGGGCCCACTGTCATTGAGGTGCTGTGGCTTTCCCGGTCCTGTGCGGTTTTGATGGAAGTGGTTGTCTGAGTAGCCCTGGTCCAACCTATGCCTGTCGGCATTTTTTGTTTTGCAAATCCACCCCACTTGCATTCTTATTTTATTTTGCAATCCATCTCTTAAAACAATTTAAACATAGTATTGACGTTATTGATTGGAATCCTTATCTCTATGATAGCATTATAATCATTGTTGATGTTATTTAATTATAGGCAATAGAAAGTGGCATATGGGGAGAATAAATAGGAGAATAATATTCTGTTTGACAGAGCTATAACTTTAGTTCAAGCTACACCTCTCCTGGAGTTGAAGCCCAACCAAACGATTTTAGCTATATTAAAAAAAGAAGCAGAGCGAGTTAGAGTGATAAGAAAATGAACTAGAGTAGAGGAGAAGGACTTGGGCCGTTCCACAACTCCACTCTAGACTCTGCTCTTAGAATTAGATTTCGGAATTATAGTCCTACCAAACAGGCCATAATAAGTTGGTGTAAGATACTAAAAGTATAAGATTTAAAATCTGAAGCATATTATCAATTACATTGTGAGTCTACACGGAACCTATTACTAAATATACTATAAACCATGTGCAGAAATACCCTAAATTTCCTTCGTCGGTCATGAAATACAAACGAGACGGTTTAGGCAGACATAGATACTGAATGTAAGAAATGTTACAAACTATATTGTGATGCCACCCTTATTCATTATATACAATGCCAAGGGAAAATTTTTTAAATGATATATCTCGCTGTTTTATTTATAGAGAGATACGACTTTTAATTCATACGCTGCAAAATGTTAAAAGATAAAATAAGACATCGAGGATGTACACAACCATTACATTAGTATATGTACTATTTCGAAAACGGAATCATCTATTGCCTCCCCCACCATCGTAGTCCCCCCATATAAATTAAAACCACCTCACCTAAAAACTTAACCAGTGTTTCCACGTAAAAATCAACCCAAAACACTAGATAGGAAAAAGACTAAACCTCGTAATCATAGTCCCCGTTGGAACGGTTTGAGATATAGAAAAAAAAACCACCATATTCATTAGTACTCCCTCCGTTTCAGGTTATAAGACGTTTTGACTTTGATCAAAGTCAAACTACTCTAAGTTTGATTAATTTTGTAAAAAAAAGTAGTAATATTTTTAATTCAAGACAAATATATTATGATAATTTATTCAATTATAGATTTAATGAAACAATGATAGTGTTGTAAATATTACTTATTTTTTTTCTACAAGGTTAGTCAAAATTACAGTAGTTTGACTTTGACCAAAATCAAAACATCTTATAACTTGAAACAAAGGTGGTAGTAGTATATAGCTAGTGCCTAGGTAACCATACATTACTTACAGAAAAATAAACGTATATAATATATGCATGTAAAAAAAAGTATAATCGTAAAGAAAAAGCTCTTTTCAGGAAAAAGATTCATTTGCTACTCTGTTGTTCTCCGAATAATGCCCCCCACAAGTGGCAAAGAATTAAATACCATCGTGCCCTCAGGGGCACCAACAAAAGTGTTCCAACCCTAGAAGGCTGTAATTAACACGTGCAAACCTACCATTAGCGAGGCATTAGTAAACGAGGACGGTAGTTTTGAGGTCACATAACCCCAGCTGGCCCGTTTTTCTCTCCCCCAACAGCACGTCTCAACCAACTTGTGTGTCTATAAAAAGAGGCGTTTGGATCCCCGCGAGCTGTAGCCCGGAGGCGAGGGTGGGCTTAGTGCATGGCTATTCCCTCTCTGCCTTAGCTAGATCAAGCTAGCTCCTTTTCATTCTTGGAGAAGGATCGATTAGGAAGATAAGTTCTTCGCAAATATAGATAGCTTCTTTTCTTAATTTTCTCCTTCTCAGTTCTCGTTTTTTTCTTCTTGATCGAAACCGATCGATCATATATATAGTTAGCTAGCATCCTTGTTGTTTTTAATCCCAAGGATCTAGTTAATTAATTACTTCTTGCAAATTTCATGCAAAAACTGATACACAGACACAAGTTCGATATAATTTAATTTCGAGCTTTGATCATATCGTCCCCTTGATCTTTTCCTTCTCTCTTTGGAAATCCCATCAAGGCTCCATATTTCCTTTTGTGGAAAAACGCCTTAGATCGACGATCTGAGCGAGAAATTCGAATTACTTTTCGTCTCCTCCTAGAGATCATCATGGACAACGTTCTTCTGGATCGCCGGTCTTCCGGGAGCTTCGAGTTCCCGAGGAGAGGCGGCGGATTCCGGCCGGGGCACCTCGGCGGCGGCGCGACGCCGGCGATGGCGCCACGCCAGCAATACAAAGGTGGCGCGTGGAGCCATGCATCACTACCCGCGCTCCCGTACGCGAGGCCTCCGCTGTACTCGTCGCCGTCTCTGCCTCTCCTGCCGTCCAACCAGCCACCTCTCCTGCCGCTCCCACCCGCCGCCACCAAGTACGCCACTTTCCCGTACCCGCCTCCGCCGCAGCAGCCGCCGCGCAGCGGCAGAGCTAGTACTCCGTCGACGCGCCAGAGGGACAGGAGGAGGAAGCCGTCGAGGCCGCCGCCGTCGACGGAGACGACGAAGGGAGGAACACAGAAGAAGAAGCCGCTGGAGCGGGCAACGCCGCTGCCGCCGGCGCCGGCGGTGGCGGAGGCCCTGGACGACCTGGAGCAGGAGGTGGCCCGCAACTTCGTCCAGGACCTGCTGCACGTGCTCGCGCCGCCGCCGAGCAGCCTGCCGCTGCCCAGGTTCGTGATCACGTCGTCGTCGTCGTCCCCCGCCGCCGGCAACAAGGTGGTGCCGCCTCCGCCGCCCGCCCCGTCATGCAACGCCGAGGCGGCCGCCGCCGACAGCCTCCGCCGCGTCCTCCGCCTCTAGGATCGATCGATCTATCACACGGTGTGTCCTTGGATCCTAGCTGTGCATGACCTGTCTAATTAATGTGTCTATTATTATTTCCCACCAAAATTATTTTCTTTGGTTGGGAAAAAGACGTACCGAAAGTAGGAGAAAAAAAATATTGGAAGATAGAGAAGAAAAGTTGTGATGCTCGAGCCATGGTCGGTCGAGTTGTCCGGTAGCTTGACCGCGATGTTGCGTTTTGGATGGATGCTAGCTCTGCACTCGTCAATGGTGAGTCAGGTCGATGAAGACGACGATGTTGCCTAAGCTTAATTTGTGTGTGTGATATATGTTATGCTAGCTACGTAGATATCTAGGGTTTTACGTCGCGTACATGCGTATGCAGTACGCACGTAGTGTAATTGGGGTATTCTTGATGATATGGGGTGATGAGTTTTTGGATTATTACCCTTGTATCAAGAAATTTACTATGTACACATGTGGTCTACTCTGTCTCCACATGGTGATGTACACAAGTGGCATTATTGATGTATGGTACGGTCTAGTTATTAATCATATGAATGTGTGGGTGTGCTTGACAAAATATTGGAATATATTGTGTTCTTGGATGTATTTGTGTTTGGCTGTGTTTATATTCAGTGGGCTACACGTGATGTGACGTATTCTGGGGAAGAAGTTAAAGACTGCATGGTAGTGTTTGCTTTGCTACGTAATCCCTCCATCCCATAAAAAACCAATCTAGTACCGTATGTGACATATCCTAATACTACGAATCTGGGCATACATCTGTTCAGATTCATCGTACTAAAATATATCACATGTGGTTCTAGATTTGTTTTTTTTGGAAGGAGGGAGTACTCCGTACGTACTACTGTTCTACTCCTTAATTGTGAAGTTACGAGCAACGATAGAAGGCGTAATACATTTGCTACCTGAAAGTTCCTCTTTCAGTACTGATAGCATACACTGTATTATATGCATGCCTCAAGCTAGGGTGATCATTGGAGTTTTTGGCATGGCGCCTGTGGTTGATTAACAGTTAACATGCAAAGTTCTTGCTATATATGCAGTCAGAATCTGGGGGCAAACAAACATGACAATTTTATTCCTTTAGTTTATTAGTAGATAAAATCCATTATTATTCACCCTATGAAACATGAATATGAGTGATTTCGTATGCACAGAATTATAATTGAGTAATGAAGATGATAGTATATAGAAGTATAAACTGTATTAATAGTAGAGTCAACTAAATACAGATATAGGTACGTGCTAAATGAGAAAACGAAAGTTGTTTTTGTTTGGTCAAATAATTGGGGAAGTGTAGCGTGTACCTCCACTTTCAATGTAGAGGCTGGGGTTTTAATTCATTTTCTAGAAAGAAAACTATTGTGATTTTTTTAAAAAAAAATATGTCATTGTTTATATAGGTTGGAGGCACATTCAGATATTGTGATTTTAAAGTTCAAGAAAAACATTCATGAATTATTTTTGTTAGTATAGGCGAATAGATACACAACTTAAAAGTTAAAACAGCTATTTTTAGGGACTAAAGACTCCGTTCGGCACTGCGGTAGATTTTGATAATCTCTTGTTTGGTCCAGCACCTTTTAGTATTTGGCAGACTGATTTTTCCTTTAATCTATGTTGTAAATGGTAATATTGATATTACCGTCTGAAAATATACACAACAATAATCGAGGGAATCAGGAAAGTTGGATAACGTATTTCCTTTAATCCTGATTCTACCAGTAAATCAAAATAAAATGATTATACATATATAGGTTCCTTCGACAAAAAAAAATCAGAAAAGAAATGCGAGTGAAAAAAAATATCAGAAAGAAAAATGTGTGCATGCACTCAGGTGCTCTACAGTACGGTCAAGAGATTTTTCAAAGGTGTGGCCAAACAAGTCATTTCCGAATGCCTATCAATATAAAATGGCAAAGCTTTGCTGTTTAAAAAAAAATCCGCATGCCTATAGTTCTAGGAGGCTTATATGATCCGCTTGTGAAAATTACTGGTTTAGTTACCTACGTACAGGATTCGTTTTTATATATAGTAATGTGCTATGAATCGTTTTGTAGGTTTGAGCTCCTCTCCTTTTGCTTTCTGCAGCTTTATTGTTATACACAATCGACCAAAATATGCTTTAATGAAAATAAAAAAAATATCTTCTTTATCAACAAAGAGCACACAATCGATCTATGGCATTAGAAAATAGAAAATTATGGGAAGCTAAATTAATCATGCATATATATATGTGCCGCAATTATTAATCCCTAAATAATTCCATGCATGGTATGTACATGCAATCAGTAATTTAGTAGTACTACTACTTGATTTTGCCGGCCAAAAGGGCGGTCTGGCTGTACTGATAGCCAAATTGCCGACCATATGCATCTAGTGATATAGGAATTCGTACGTACGTATATACAGTATATATCATTGGCGCGTATTCAGGGACTTTGGGTATTGGTGGTCCAATTTGTGTGTATCATAAATGTAATAGAATGATCAAAGTGCATCATACTAATATATTAATAATAGAGGTTTCTTCTTCAAATTTTTTGTACAAATATATGTAAAAAAGTTAAGCCATATTCAAAATACTTTTAATGATAAAAAACAAAATAAAAATATTGATAATTACTTAATTTTGTTGAATAAGATGAATGGTTTATTCGTATGTCCAAAGTCTATGATATTAAAAACCGGAGTACAGTATGTCGGGCCTAACCGCATGGAATTCAATTAAGCTCACAGCAATGAAACAGTAATAAGCATGTAAAACAAAGGAAAAAAAATCTATATTTGACATATTTTACTCACATCAATCTCATGTCTGTTAAATGAATATACATATTTAAAGAAAACCAAATAAAACAATAATCTCGCTGCTATCAGATAAAAGATTAGGGGTGACGACAAATAGTATTTGGTACCTTCGCTGTGCTGCAAGCAAGGTATTATGGAATCCAACGTCAAGGCACAGCATATGCTCCCACGTCGGCGTTCGACGTACTACTGTGGTGGCCTGTGTAATCTGTACTATACATCGATATCCTCTCGGCTTGTTCTACTGCTGCTCACATCAGGAAGCGACGGCGAGGAGTATCTGTGATATCTGTAGTTATCTAAAGAGAACACCGGTTGCTGTGGACTGAGATCTGGTGGCGATGCGAGGTTCCTCTGTGCAGGCAGCGGGTTTACTCCCTTGTACATGAAGTCCTCGCCGCTGTAGTTGCAAAGTATTGTGCACGTAAGAGCTTAATGTGTTTCGTTAGCATCCGGTTCGCTATTGATGCCATGATTATATCTCAAGTTATATTCTGCTTTGCTTTCGACCTTTTGAATTGTTGTTATGTGTGAATTTCATGTTTAGGCACGCACCTTTTCCTTTGAAAGCTATCAACTTCGTCTTTGAGAGTCTCTACAGGAAGGATGCTATCTTCTCTCGGAGTGAGAGACCAGGGACTCGGGGCAGCAGGCTCATTTGAGAAAAATCTTCTCCTAATCAACTGAAAGATGCATTTCAACAGCATTAGCAGATGAAAACATAGAGGGAGGAAAAAATCAGTGTATTAATTCTAAACAAACCATGCGGAAAAACTTGATCACGGCTTCTTTGTCATATCTTGCTTCTTTGGCAGCCTGCAATAATCAGAAATCGACTTAAACACACAAGAACTAGCTCAGAGTAACATTGTGCAGACCCTACCAATAAGAATCTTTAATGTTTTCCTCTACCCAAACCATTACTTAGTAATGGATCTTGATTGCTACAACTACATAAGAGAATGATTTGCAAGAACTTTAGTATGTGGCAAGAAGAGAATCTAACCGAGAGGAGACCAGAGTTCCCAGGAAAGCTATCTGTGAGTGGAAGTTCTTCACTACTAGGAAGCAGGCCCTGTTTCTCAACCCACTGACGAGCAAAATCAACAAGACTTCCACTGCTAACTCTAGAACCATCTCTCGGAACAAGATCCACTTTATTAGCAATTACAAGGTAAGGCACTGGAAGCCCACCTGGTCCACCAGATCCGAGTGGAGCAGAAAAGGTGCCAGTTTCAGCAACTTCAACTGCCCATTTATTCAAATTTGTTTTGGTCTTCCTCTGAGAGAGGTCATAAACAAATATGACACCTGATGATAATAAATGAAACAATGAGTGTACTAAATTGTTAATATTGATCGATAGGAAACACATTAAGAGTTTGGGTCAAGGATCTGATATAGACAGCTTTCTCTAGTGGTTTCTCCTGCTGAAGTACATACTGGGAAACAAATTGAAGTAGAGATAAAACTAGAGTTGCTGCTCGATAACACGCGACAACTAAAATTTGGGCTTCATGTGAACATATTCAAGTTTCAAACAATAAATGGATACCTGTGAAAAAAAAAAGCAATAAAGGGGCTCCAATGGGTACATAGATGCAGGACAGTAATATGCTGGTAATAAAGAGATAGTCACATGACATTTACCATTAATTTGTGTATAGAAAATTGAACGGCATGTTCTGTAGCGTTCATGTCCTGAAACATCCCAAAGCTCAACAAAGAAGTTCCTTTGAACGTCGCTGATGATGTTATTAGAAGAACCGCCTGCACTTCCATAAGTAATATGCTGAAATGATAACAGTAAAAATGTAAGCAGATACAAATAGCAAAAGGTGCAATTGAGGAAAGTACAGAGCCAGAGTGCCTACTTTAACGCCAACCGCACATCCTACTGTCTGGGCAGGTCGAGCAATAGCAGAACCCTTTAAAATGAGATGCACCAAAGAGGATTTCCCAACACCTGAGAAGGTAAAATGGAATAATGACAATGTATACATCTGGAGAACTATAGTCAGCAATGCACAAGTACATGCCAGCTATAGTGCATTCATTTCAGTTATATGCAACATAGTACCATCCACGAGAGAACAGTACATTCAGTGAAAGGCCACATAGAAAATTCAGTCCCACATGATGCTTGGTCTACTGTGTCTCAATAGGCTCACTATTTCCACCTGGACTAAATGTTGGGTAGATAACATACCTACTGCCTCTTTGGTACCAAGTTCCTCCTTGGTATCCCACGTTTTCAGAGAAAGAAAAATGGCGCAATTCCATCCAAGGTTAGTGAGCACTGAGCACACCTTCTTGGTGAATAATTGGAGAACTGAACAGCCAAAAAACATTTCAACTCTTGTATCTCTGCATGATGATTGATTGATGGTTTCCTTTCCTACTCTTGTAAGATTTCACCAACTCTGCACGACGATGTAATGATGGGTTCATAATTTCTTTTCCCACAAGAGTAGGATTTCACTAACTCTGCATGACGATGTAATGATGATGATGTTATGATGGATTCATAAATTCTTTTTTCCTACAAGAGTAGGATTTCACTAACTCTGTATGACGATGTATTGATGGGACCACAGTTTCCTCCCACAGGAGTTGGATTTCACTAACTCGGCATGATGACGGACTGACGATTTCCTTTCTGGTTTCTAGCTAGTCAAACAAATGCACCTTGTTTGTTTTCCACTACATTGGTCTTGTTAATATCCGTGCACAAAAAGCCTAGCTCAAATCCCCTCACATACAAACAGGCAAGGCTAACCGAATTCATCAAAATGCAAAATTCACTTCATACCAAGCCACTATCCCTCTTCGTCCCTTGCACCACCTAAACAGACAATTCACAGTGGATCACAATCATCAGCCCCGCGACGTCCTAATGGCGTTCCCTACTTGTTTCCACTGAGTTCAGCGAGACATGGATTTGACAGGTATCAGGTTCGGAGAGTTCGCAGATCAACGAAATGGGGGGTCACGACGGAACAGACCTGAATCGCCGACGACGAGGACGCGCACTTGGCCGAAGGGGCCCACGCCGTTCTGCTCCAGCCCGCCGCCGCCGCCGCTGCTCCGTCCGCCGCTGTCCTTCCAAAACATCGCAGGCCTCCCGCACCGCCCCCGAATTGGGCGTCGGCGACGGCGACGGCACGCACGAACAGAGAGGCTGGAGGAATCACCGGACCAGAAGAACCCACCGACACATGTAGGCCGCAGGCGCAACCCGATCCGCCCCTGGCGGGGGCGGCGGGAAAGGGGTCTCACCTCACCTCTCACACGGGGAGGATTCGAGCACCGACAACGGGGGCTCGCGCGCGACGGAGCGTTCGTCTGGGGGATTGTGGCGGGTGGCGGGTGGCGGGTGGAACAGATGATCGAATCGCGATTGATTGGATTTCTGACGGAGATAGGAGATATATGGCTTGGGAATAGCTACTGAAATGTGAAAAAATACCTTGGCAAAATTTCACCTAAAAATTTGTACTCCCTCCTCATATTACAGACACTTTAACTTTTTTTTCTTAAGCGAAACTTAAAACGAAACTACTTTTAAGTTTGATCAAATTTATAACAAAACATAGCAACATTTCAACGCAACAAATATAATATATTTATATTTAATGTTATACTTAATAAGACTAATATGGTACTCCATTCGTTTTAAAATATAAGAAATTTTAGACGGATAAGATACATCCTAGCACTAGTACTACAAATCGTTTCTTCACATTTATAGTCTTATTCAAATTCATGATACTATGATATATCATATATCTCATCCATTTAAAATCCCTCATTTTTTGGAACGGAAAGATATTGCTAAATTAATCTATAAATTTAACCAAAGTTACTGGTTTGATTAAGAAAAATATCAAAGTGTTCAAGATTTTTTTTTCTTTTTTATGATTGCGATGCTTTCTTTCGTTTGAAGGTGAATATAACCTTTATGAGAAGGATTTGACCATATGCTATAATATTACATCCTCGTGATGGCACGTGATGCCCTCAAGTCAACATCTAAGGTTCGGTGTTCGTCGGCAGATTGCTCTTGGAGTTGCCGTGCGGCCAAACTCGCACTGAAGTTTGGCCTACCTCCAAACTCGTGCGTGCAGCACAGCATTGGTCAGTTTTGCACGAGAAAACAAGCAAAAGGCCAAACCTGCATGGCACATGTGTTTCCAATTCTTTTGCACCGAACAGTTTCTAAATGATTCCTATGGCTACCGAACACTAACTACTAACTAGACTCTAGGTACAATTGGTTCGATATGAACATGTGAAGCAGCAAAGCCAAAGGCTCATCACATTTGATAAGAACGACGCTGTCGGCTGTCGGCAAGGCCCAACTCCAGTCTTCATGGGTCGAATTTGAAGTGTAACTCCCCAAAAAAGGTTTGATAGGCTGAACATGCTTCACGAAGACTTGCAGCCATTGTCGATTGATACTATGATTTTCAAGCTGCCTTTTCGGTTCGGTACGCAAAAATGGCAGTCTTGCAAAAAACGAATTGATGCGACCAACTACTTCTGGGTTAGCTGTTTAGGCAGATCTACAGCATGCAGCAATGCATCCAGATTTTCCAAAAGTCGTCCAGGGTCTGGTGCAAGGGTACATAATTGTACCGCTTTCACCAATCTTCTATCTCATCTTCATCTTCTTCAGAACTGCTTGCTTCTATATTGTGGTTGAAGGAGTTACTTCTAGGCATATCATTATGAGGACTAATCCATCTCTCAAATGGTTTGAATTCTGTGACTACATCAGAGAAATTGCGAGAACCAGATGTACTTGAACAATCGTATCTTTCTCTAAGAATCAGATCCTACATTTTGCCAACACGTAAATGCAAATAATCAGACCTCAGCTGACTAAAATGTTATCAAAATCATACTGGTATCAAAGAACTTTCATCAGCATGGTTTAATATTATGGTAAAACTAATTTTATATCTTCAAATGATAAACAGTCTATTAATAATTTCATTATGACTCTTGTAGAAAGGAAGCAAATATGTGATATGTGGTGTCCACTGTTTTTTCTTTACTTCAGAGTTCAGAGAGAAAGTACTCTAGAACGATGTGAAAGTTGACTCTCTAGTACTAGTAGAAAATATATGATAACACATATATTGATTTTTCAACACATATATTGATTTTTCCAAACTTGTGGTCTAAATAATTGCATGGAAATGGTATGGTGTCGAATTTACCTTTCTGGATCGAAATGACTGTTCAATCTGCCAAACTCTTGGGCTACGGATTGTATGCCACCTGCTTAGCCAAATCACAGCAAAAACTATCAATTTGAGATCCGTCAGATGAACCCATATTCACAAGGAAGGTACCTTGATGATGACACATGTGCATTTCCGAAAAGAATTCCTCGTGCTGCAACGGAAGCAGCAATAAGTTGTGTCATGTTTTCCGCTTCATACGATTCATTTACCATCCAACGGGTTGACGAAATTGGACTACCAGCAAGAAGGCAATCTGCCTCACTCAAATATGACGCCACACTCCATGCATCATCAATAGCATCATTGTCAATGAAATCAAGAACTGCAAGATGCCAAGTTTCACATGTTTACTCAACTATAAGTTAAACCTTGACAGAGGTTAAGGTAGGTAATTAGCTCTATCAAGAACAAACACCTACAAAAAGAATGTTGATGAAAATGTAATGAAGCTAAAGCACGGTTACAGAAGAACAATTTTTAATCCATACCATCCTCATTTTCACATCATAAACTCAGTCAAAAGAAATTAAGCACTCTAATTTGATGGCTTATTGTGAATACGCGAGTATGTGACAGCAACGGTGATGGAAGATAGATGTAAAAAAAAAAGTAAAGTAGTTTGCTACTTTCCTTAGCTAAAGCAGCAATTACAGCAGCAGCCAGCCACATAAGCATGAATACTTCGAAGTTCAAGAATCATGGTTTCAGTGTTTCAACAACGAGCATGGAATCATATAACACAGCTACAAGCATACAGTATAATATGCATAGTGTATGATACTCATGGTAAAACTTTTCAATGTTTACCATTTTCATGCAGAAAGTCAGCAACTGTCCGCACTTTTCCATGCGCTTGAGACAGAACCTTTTCTGGAATATCCATTTTGAGTGGATTTCTTCTTAGTTTTTCTTTCATAGGAAACGAATCCACATCTACAGCTGAAGTATCACAAGTTTCAGACACAACAAAGCTAGGTCATTCATAAATTTAATAAACCACCCTTGCAGGCATTCAGAATCACAGCATTGCATTCTATAATCCAATAGTACCTTTTTGATGAAGTAATCCAATAAGAATAGTTATCTAAACAAAAGGGGCAGAGTATACTGTAGTGGTGTGTAACCACAGTCCACAGTGAACTATGGAACTTATGAGCATGTAACTACGAAGTATTAGATGATGTTAAGTGGGGCAAATGAACTGACTACAAATCAAGTACTAACAAGTGATTTTAAACATGTTACGTGCTGATCCTGAAATACACAGAGGAACTTGTGCTGTGTAAGATATAGCCATACTAACCAAAAATGAATTCCAAGGCTAAGAGAAATCAAAAGTAATTACTACCCCCTCCGTTTCAGGTTATAAGATGTTTTGATTTTGGTCAAAGTCAAACTGCTTCAAGTTTGACTAAGTTTATAGACTTAGTCAAATTTGAAGCAGTTTAACTTTGACTAAAGTCAAAACATCTTATAACCTGAAACGGATGGAGTAGTATTTAGTAGACCTGATAAACACAAAAGGATGCATAGTAACTGCTTTATAAACTACTCGTGCACCAAATAAAAACTAGCGCACAAAGTGAATTAGCACTAAACTCTTGAAAAAAATGTTGTACAAAACAATCTTCGAAAAAAATGTAAATAGTCTACACGTTAATTATAATTGTAACATGTTATCAATACGTTATGAAAAATACTACCTCAGTTCCAAAATATAAGGGTTTCTAGATTGTTTAGCAGAAACTAAGGTTGAGAAGATAAGACTTTTTAGTGCCCCTCAACAAATAAGGCTAAGTGGGGGTGGAAGAGTAGGTGGGGGTAAGATGGGAAGAAATTTGAATGGGAAGTGATTGATGGGACAAATGGTACTATGAATAGTGCTAGAAATCCTTATATTTTGGAACAAGATTCAAAAGCCGACATCGCCATATAGTGAAGTTCTTATATTTTTGAATGGAGAGAGTAAATACCAATATCAAGAAGAAGGTTGTGCAGAGGTAGGTTATCACATACCGACATCGACTTCACTATATGTTTCTCTTTTATTGTGCAAAAATTTCCCCAGTGCATGGAATAATGTAAGTGTCTCATCTCTTCCACATGCAGTAGGTATTACAGAGCTGCAACCATAACTGTCTTGCCCTGGAACTAGAGAGCCACCGCTCTTTAAACCAGGCAGAATGGCAGTTCTTGCCAATGCAGAATTTAGCCTTCTTGGATTTAGGCAGTAGTACTGCAGAGACATTATTGCATGTCTGATATCACCTCCGCTGGATGTAGCTATTTGATGCACCAAATCGTCAGTTAAGTCAGAGCCTTCTTGTTTGCATATTCTAACAAGAATTTTCTTGATAGAATTTACGGTTACTGGATTGAAAGAAATCTGCAAGGAAATTGGTGGTACACCGTACACCCTTAAGTCACATAAACCTGTTTGTTCGCCATGATGATCAAAGCTGTCAAACAGCAACTGCTCTTTTACTAGGGAATCTTACCTTATGAGCACCAGCACTTTGAAGTAAGGACTCAAGGTCCTCAGAGTTCCACATTGCAGTATCGTTATTCTCACTTTTATGATATTGGGTAAGTGAAATTACAGTCGGTACTTGAGTACTTTGAATTAGACCTGTTAAACATTTTCCTAATCTTGCAAAAGAAACTTTTCCACTTGTTACAGGGATGTCATCAATCAGGATGATAGTATGCTTTCTTTGCGATCCAAAGTTGGTTGGAGAAAGCAACGAATATTTCCGTATCTTCTCGACAAAGTTTTCAAATTCTTCCAGCTTGGATATATACCCAAGTCCTTCAAATGATCATTGAAAGAAAAAAAATAACTGGGACGTGATTGCAAGTTGCAAGTGCTATACTAGCATACTGAGTACTAAATTGTATAGAAACGCATGGACTTCATCCATACTTTTATCAGAAGTCAGCTGGAAACAATTTTTGGAGCAAAAGAGAGAATATTTAAGCCTCAAAACATATGATACCTGAGTTAGCATGCAAATGTTCTGTCCATAGTGTCGGTACTGGGGCTGTCCACTCACATATCTCAACTCCAAGCTCAGCAGCAATTGCTTTGATAGTTGCCTGTAATAGATGTAACAATCATTATCATTAGACAACTCCCATCAATAGGTCAACATAGTTCCTAAGGTTCTGAAATCATCAGGGGCAACAAAATAGTCACTATGTGAAACCAAAAGAGAACAGTAGAAATAAGATAGGCGGGTAACTGGAGGATGCATTTGATTTAGTAGGCAATTACTTGAAGTTGAGGTGATACTCATTCACTCAATGTCTTGATCCATTGTTACCAATACAGTGCATTTTCAACAGGTCATGTCGCACTGGACTTGTTTATGTCATATCAGATATGGTGGGATATGGTGGTCTTAGGTCTTTAGGAATCTAACAAGCAGCAATGAATTAAAGTTCAACTGATTTATTAGCACTTGTTAACAGTCTGCATATTGTACAAACTCCGCAAAAGAAAAACTAAAATTCAAGAGAATAGTAGCATGAAAGGACATACAGATTTTCCGACGCCAGCTTGGCCAGTAAGGACAAGAGTCCATCCTCCAAATGTTCCCTGTAAGAATTGTGTTTGCACTGTCAGTATTTCTTTGTTGTGCAAGCAAGTGAAACTAGTTCATGCCTAAAAGTTCATCACATATATGGTAAATTTGAATCTGTATAATTAACTAGTTAATACCATGCGACTCAAAATTCACATTAGTTCAATACATTGCCTCATGCAGGTAAATTTTTGCAGAACTGAGGTAAGCTCAAAAGCTTCATAATAATTTTTACAGTTCAAAACATTCAAATATTGAAAAAGAGTCTGCTGACTTTTCCTACATCTTGGTGCCAAATCTAAATGCTATTCATCATGTGGTCTATAATTTAGCTTCCTGAGATACTCTATTATAAGGCGGTAACAGACTGCAGAATCATTACAATATGTATGCAAAGTTGCAAACAAAGGTGCAACCTTCTAATCTTGCCTGTCATACATATTGTAACAATCCCTTCTATTCTGGAAACATCCTTGATTGAGACCACAACCAGAAGCCAAATTCAGCACTCTCACATTATCAAATAATTGAAAGCAAAAGGATAAAAACAAAAACTGGAAATCTGCTTAGTAACCTAATATTAATGATCCTGAAGATAACCCAGACCCATTACTCACAAATCTTGGATATTCAATGTCATAAACTCAAGGAATAACCACCTTTGGTGCCCTCAGCTTTTCGTCCAACCATTTCTTTACATCTTCGACCTACGAGAAGGCAGACAACTAACGTTCTCAGAAAGTTTTCGCATTTTACTTATGATGAAAATCAATCTGAAGAAATTCAAGTCACATATCAAAACCATACAATGTGGATGGAACAAAATCTTTGTTTCTGCAATGCACTGGACTGAGGAGGCTCATTTGCGGAATAAATTTACTTAATCATAAAAGATTAAATGCACTAACCTTTTTTTTGTGAACAGAAAGCTCAGCCAACGAGTGTGGTTTGTACTTGTCAACCCAAAGCTCTTCTGTTTGACATATAGATCCTGCCTAGAAATAGACTAATCAACATATAAAAAGACTTGCAATGGCCATAGTAGTCAGAATACCAAGCAAAGGCATCTTACTAGTGTAAGACTTTGATAAATTATTTTTATAACAGACAGGAAAAGAATACATGTAATGCTGGAACACTCAAGAAGAACAAATTAGAGTAATTTAGGAATAGTAAAATTAAAAATTCTGCAAAAATATAGTAACAAATTAAGATGTTTACATGGGAAAAATATTCATATATGGTTGATTTTGTAGGTTATTGCAAACAGTGATTAACTGCTAGCACTTCGGTTTTAGTTTGGATAGCAAAATCTAAATAGTAACTTCCATAGTTAAACTACTAAGCTTCAAACAGTTGATGGATCAGACAAAAAGGGAAATAGATAAACCCAGGGACACGATAACTTCTCATATGCTGAGTCAGGAAAGAAATAGTAAAATAACACTACTTATGTCATTTGCAGTTAATCTTCTATTAACTTATTGTCAAACTGCTAATCCCTGACTAACTAGCAAGTAAACTGTAGCGACAGATATAAAAAATCTGCCCACTTAGTAAAACACTCGTACTTAGTGAATCTGATAATTACATTGGTCAGGACCTTTTTTAAAAAAAAGTTTTAAATCAAGAAATCGATGAAGAGATGTACCTGGCATGCCCAAGTCATTTAGACATTCGGAAAAATCTTCAGAAAGCATGTCAAATTCAGCCTTTAAAAGGTAAGGAGATAAAACATCAGTAAGCATTGAGTTGCTGAGTACTGACAGCAAATTACTTTATTTGGAACAATTCAGCAGTTTGCAATGCTACTAGTAGCGAAGATGGAATCATCTCAGTTAAGATTAGTAGTCGTAAAAGAGTAGCCAAGTCCAAATCTCTAGTAGATAGTAGCATTAATAGGTCTTTCCTGCATTACGAGTTCATAGTTCAAAACTCAATCAGGGAAAAAGGAATGGTCCATCCTATCACCGAGCAGAAAATAAAAATATTATTCAGTCCTTATTCTTGAATCTCAAAGAGAGCATTAGCTTGTAAAAATAATACATAACCAACTTTTCATTTCGACTGAAATGGACATATAACCAGGGAAATTATCTCCTATGCAAGTAGAACTTTAGGTGTTAAGTTGATAGCTTTCCAACCAAGTGCCAACTAAACTGTTATACATATTTCACAACTCATATCGTCTGGACATAGCCTAAACAAGTATATATCAGAAACCAGGGATTATGAGACTCCAAAACGAATTATGACATCCCAAAAAAAACAAAAAACAAATATCTAGTGCTAGTATACAATTCCACAGACAAAATGTATATCCCACCAATTAAGAGCGAGATAGTCCCAGTATTATTAACTAAGCGCAACATACAGCATTCATACAGCAAACCGTCCAACTGAACTCTAGCTCGACATCGGTACCTTCAGGGAGCCGGACGGTGCGGCGCCCGTAGCGCGACGGCGGCCCCTCTCCGCGCTACTCACGCGCCGCGGCTTCTTCCTCGGGCCGCTCGCTGCATGCGCCGGCGCGGGCGCCGTCGCAGGAGTCCTTGCCCTCCGCGCCGACGGGCCGCGGGTGGCAGCGCGGCGGCCCCCGCCTTCATCCTCGTCGGAAGAAGAGGAGAGGACGACGACCGGCGGCCGCTTCCCCATTGAACGGGGCCGGCGGTCGGCCGCGCCACCGATGGGTAGGGGCACTAGGGCGACCGGAGCACGCGCGGCGGAATGGTTGGGGTTTTGGGGGTCTAGGCGGGGAACGGAACTGGGGAGACGACGGCTTCCAGGAGAAGGAAGTGACGAGGGTTCTGGATCCTCTAGCATTGTGTGGATCCGATAGCCCGTGATGAATTTCCCTATGATAGTTTGGTTCGGTTAATGCCATTTTTCAACTTACATTATTTTAAATATTTTTTCGAACTATAATATGGACATACTCAGATTATTGTCAAAATAAATCTTTTCAAAATTTGACAGTGCAAACTTTTGATAAGTTAGCGACATTGCTAAGTTTTGATAGGATAAACTAAATGTGATATTGTTAAAATTCTCTAAACATTAACAATATTTGTAATATTTGGTAACAAACCAAATATAGTCATTTAATTATCAATTTTACTACCAAACAATAGTACTCCAGTCTAAACAAGCTTTAATTAATTCATTGTTCATACCATCAGTAAATAACACATAATCATCTCAGCTACTCCGAGGGAAGTAATGAGGGGTTTTTTTTTTGTCTCGAAGCACAGTAATAGGAAAAAATGCAGGATCAAAATATCATGAAAACCAAGGGTGGAGCATAAGAAAACACCTAATAAAAGAGAGATGTAGACAAAGAAAAATTCCAGGAGTGCTAGAAATTTTCTAAAATTTATATGGAACATGATGTTTCACATGATTTTCGAAGGAATTGTATAGACATTTTTTTTATTTTAGCCACTTTACATGTAAGTATGTAACCCTACTCCCCCCCCCCCCCCCAATCTCACCTATTCAAATGAAAATCATAATAGGAGGAAATTTATCATGAGGTAAAACTGTTTTAATCTTTTTTTCAAATTCATGTGTTTTTTCTATAGTCTAACTAAACGATTGTTTATGCAATTATCTATTTTACAGTTGCATTCCCGTCAAAATCCTATGCTTTTCATATTCATTTGTTTCTCCATTCCCGCGATTCAACTGGGCCATTAGTAAGCAAGTGAATTATACTTTGGGTCATGTTGTTGTTGTTTCGTCTTGTACCATTTGTTTACTACTTCCGCCATCACATTTTAAACGCAGTTGTGAGTTTCCATGTCTCACGTTTGACCGTTCATCCTATTTAAAATTTTATGAAAAAATAAATAAAAACAAGTCATGCATAAAGCATTATTCATGTTTTATCATCTAATAACAATTAAAATACTAATCATAAAAAAATATTAAATAAGATAGATGGTCAAACACGTTAGGTATATAAACCCATCACTACAACTTAAAATATGATAATATGATAGAGGGAGTACCAATGTTTCGTTTTGGGTCACACTTGTGCCAATTTTTTTTTCGGGTTGAAATAGAATGGTCCAGTTTAGGCTTTCAGTCCAAAGCTTCAATGTCAGGCTGTCAGTCCACTCTCAATATACTCCTAAATACAACCTAGTACCGATGTGTTTTATTCTAAAATATGTTTTGTATTGGGAGGGAGGGAGTAATCGCTGAAGGTGTTGCCGTTACAAAACCTGAGCTTACGAAAAATGCTCATCATTCAACATTTCAAGAACTTGATGGTTACGGTGTTCATTTGTGAATAATCTTCAATGCAGAAGGTCGAATCGATCACCCAGCGGTGAGCGGGTTGGCAACTGGGAACAGCTCCGCCGAGGCGGCGAGGCGTCCACACCTCCGACGGCGAGGACAAGCATTTCCGATCACCTCTGCTGTCGGCGGGCGGTCGTCGGCCGACGCGGTGATTCGGAATACTCGGCGGCGTCTGTATCCGTCTCCAGGGCGCCGAAATGCTCGCCTCGTAAACCCTGCTTGATGAGTTGGCACTGGCAGGTCTCTCTTGAAGTCCTGACGGGATGACAGGTCTCATGTGCGCTTTTTTTTCATTTTCTTTTTGCCTCCCGCCTCCGTGGCCGGTGAGTTGTCCCCCGCGATGTCTACGCGTCTTCCCCGCTTTGCTCCGGCCGGATCCTTTCCTTTCCTCCAAAGTCTTCTCGATGTATCCTATTTCTATTCCTATCATCTGCAACCGTCTCTGTACCTCCACCTGTGCCGCCCGTTCGCAGCAACGCGGCGGGGCACAGAGAATCTCCGCGTCCCTGGACACCACATCGAATCAACCGTCGCCTTCAACGGTTTCGCTCCCACGCAATAAAATCCCCCCTTCCCCCGTGCTCCTTTCCCCCCAATTGCTTCCCTCTTATCTCTCGATTGATCCACGAACAGTGACACCGCCGCGCACAGCGAATCCGCCATGGCCGCCAAGCAGAGCCTCTACCCCGAGGTGAACCAGTCCCACCCCGACCTCAACACCGCCTTCCTCGCCAACCCCAACCGCGCCGCCACTGCCAGCCCTGGCGGCTCGCTCTACCCCTCCGTCGACCCGCAGCAGCTCGCCGAGAACCTCTTCCCCGACGCCGCCGATGACGCCGCGCCGCCGCCTCCCACCACCGAGGAGGCCCTCGTCGCGGTTCCGGGCGCGCAGCTCCACCTCGTCGACCCCGACCGCAGCATGGACCTCGGTGCCGGCACGCTCTCCGTCGTCCGCCTCCGCCAGGGGGACCACTCCGTCGCCGTCCTCGCGAGGCTCGTCCCGGAGAAGCGCAGCCAGCGCCGCGGCGGCCTCTTCGGCTTCTTGAGCGGCGGCGGGAAGGCCGGCGACGGCGCCGCGCAGGAGCCCGTCCAGTGGCCGCTCACCCGCGACGTCGCCGCCGTCAAGCTCGACACCGCGCACTACTTCTTCTCGCTCCACGTCCCGCACACAGATCACGAGGATGACGACGCCGAGGGGGCCGAGGCGGAGAAGGACGCGGACGGGGAGGCGGCGCTGAGCTACGGGCTCACGGTCGCCAGCAAGGGGCAGGAGGCGGTCTTGGCCCAGCTGGACAAGGTACTGGAGGAGTACACCACCTTCTCCGTGAAGCAAGTGGAGCCGGCGGCGAAGGAGAAGTCGGAGGTGATGGACACGAAGGCGGTGACGGAGATCACGCCGGAGGAGGCCGTTGGGGACAAGAAGGAGGTGGTGGAGGAGCAATCAGCGGCGTTCTGGACGACGATCGCGCCGAACGTGGACGACTACAGCTCGTCGGTGGCGAGGCTGATCGCGCGGGGCTCGGGGCAGCTGGTGAGGGGCATCATCTGGTGCGGGGACATCACAGCGGAGGGCCTCCGGTGTGGGGAGGCGGTGGTGAAGAAGAGCGTGGGGCCGAGTGGGAAGCCGTCACAGGTGAAGCCGAGCACTATCAGGAGGATGAAGAGGTATGGATTGTGAAAGAAGATTATTATTTATTCTTGTTGTTATTATCTCGTTTTAACTTTCTGAGTAGCTCACATCGTCAACATTTTTCTACTAGAATTCACCGTTTAGATGAAAAAAAAACTTGTTCGATAGCATGTAATTGGTTCTGTTGGCTTCTGGTGGTATTTTAGTTAGTAGTCTCATGTTCTGAATTCGCATATATAGATGAACTGCTTATAACATTATTGTTTCTTTGGACCTCAATACCTCATATATTAAATAGTATAACTACATAGAAGATGCTGACTCAATAGTTAGATTGTACAAGTCTCTTTTATCAGAAAATTTCTCTTTGGACAGACGTTGACACTCCTTTCTATTTTGTTACTGCAAAGCAAATGTCCCACTCAATTATTCAAGTATTATCTTTTGGTGGCAATACTCCATCTCTGGTGGGCTGTCGATATTTAGTATAGTTGATTGATGAAGAATTGACAATTTACTCGGTGGATATTTACTTTGTCTTTGTGCTAATTCATTGCTGATTGTCTCTTATCCTAGAGGACACCTAGGCTTTATGTCGTTGTCAACGGTGATGTGTTAAAACCAATAAGAGATTAAGAGTTGCTAGTGCCTTATAGAGTAAAAGAATGTGATGCTAGCAACCTGTAATTCTTATTGAAACATGCTTATAACTATATCATAGGCTAGTTATATCAAGCATCAATATTGTTAGTGAAAAATGAAAACTTTTATCTCCTGGTGTCATCATATTTTATTGCATTATTTAAGATAACATAATCACCTTTTTGTGCCCTGCATTGTACTTGTTTGACTTAAGTTTTGTTGTTTTTCTCAGGGCTAGAAGGGTTACGAAGATGTCCAACAGGGTAGCAAATTCAATCCTCTCTGGTGTTCTAAAGGTCTCTGGGTTTGTTACCAGCACTGTGCTGAACTCGAAACCTGCCCAGAAATTCTTTAAGTTGATGCTGGGCGAAGTTATTCTTGCTTCACTCGATGGATTTGGTATGGCCCTGTCCCATTATCAGAAAATGCTAAATTTACGAAGTTGTATTTCATTTATGCAGCTATATGTTTCTAGAAGGTTTGAAACTTTGGATCTATGATCATTTTAGAATTTAGAAGGAACCAGATAGAATAAATTCATGTTGCTCTTATTGTCTTAATTTTTGTAGTGTGATCAGAATTCACTTTACTCTCTGTAGTTAAAAAAACGTCATGTTTTTCTTAATTATTAAGACTATATTGCAAAAAGGCTTGGTACATATAACGTACTATGTCATGTTTTTAGCTCATGCATGGTGTTTTACCATAACATGTTTTGTATAATTCTTACTGTATTTCGAATTATTAATTGTTCATTTTTGATGATTCAGGGAAAGTATGGGATGCTGTAGAGGTGTCTGGAAAGAACGTGATGCGAACGTCGTCGGTTGTGACAACTTCTGTTGTAACACATAGGTAAATACACAATACCTTCTATTCTATGCTTCATTCAAAATGTTCTCCTTGTCATTGAAGCCCGCAGAAACCAATTTGTAGTTAACAAGTAGTCACTTTTTGAAACTATACACGCTAGTACTAGTATTGGTTTTTTAGGGACCTGTTATCTTGTACGGTGCAAACAACAGTCTGCACCATCTTCATCTTATTTTATGTTGTTACAGAAAGGAGCATACATTTCACTAAGTAAAGGAATGACTCACGAAATTTAAGCATATACTTATCTGAACATATAAATAAACACAGAAATCCTTGCGCTATCAACACATACGAAGCAAAGCTTTTGACTTCTTTACAAAAATAAATAAATAAATAATAAACACAGAGAGATAACAACAAAACAGCCAAACATATGGGTTACAAAACTTTGATCTTAGAAAACTGGAAATGCCTGCAGACGGTTTTCCTTCCGCTGCATACAAGTTACTGTTTGTTATCAAATCGCTTTTCTGCAAAAGGCAGCTTGTTGTATAGTTGTTTTTCAGTGTCATTTAAACAAAAAACAAAAACAAAATGTCTGATACATAAGATCGTTTGATGCTGGTAGAGGCTGATGACTTGTTTATTGCAGATACGGAGATCAAGCTGGACAGGTCACACAGGATTACCTTCACGCCTCTGGAAACGCTCTTGGAGTCGCATGGGCTGTCTTCAAAATTCGGAAAGCTCTCGACCCAAAGGGCAATCTGAAGAAGTCGTCTCTGGCGAGCGCTGCTGCCCATGCTGTAGCTAAAGAATCGATATCTCGGCAAAGAAGGAAGTGAGACAACACGGTCGATGGTGGAACTCGCTGTTACTCTCTAATACGGTGTACTAGCTTCAATAGAAATGCTCTTTTGTGAACTTGGCGGCTATAGCAGATTTTGTTGGATGTGTCGCTTGTAACTTGTAAGGCGTGTGACTGTTGCCGTGATGGTTTTGATGTTTGTTTTGGTTTTTGGATGTTTGCGAATTGCGATGATGTACTGATTTGTAACCTGTCGAATTACTATATGTGTATACATGATGCACAGTGATCTCACGGTTTATTTGTTTTTAGTCTTGATCGAGTTGGTTGGCTCTATTTGTGTTTGAAATGATGACATGATATTAAGTTGATGCATGGAAAACAAGAAAATCATTAGCTTATAATCTTAATTAATATGGATATATTTGATATTTTAATAAATTACATATATAATATTCATATGTAGTTTATATAGTTTGAAAAACAGGTTAACAAGACCGATATAAAATTTAAATCTTAATCAAACGAGAAACCATTAGCTTATAACCTTAACTAAAATGGATATATTTGATATTTAATAAATTATATATAGATAATATACATATGAAATACATTGTTTAATAGTATAAAAAACATGTTAAAAGACCAAGATAAAAATCTTAATCAGAACATGAACTTGTATCTTCTTGCAAGATGTAGGTGGTGTTTGAATAGATGATGAAGATGAAGATCAAGTGTTTTACGTAAAAAGAGGTGGTAATAACGTGTGATTCATTAAATTATAATTATTACAAATTAAAAAATAGATTAATCTAAAATAATATTTTAGAGTAACTTTCATATAGAAAGTTTTCGTACGAAACGCCGCGAGTATCACAATTTAATCCTCCCCTCACAGAATAAACGAACAGGGCCGTAATCTAGCCCACTTGCACTATTGCAACTTGCGCTTGCGAACGCGTGGGTGCGTGGCCCACTGGCCTGAAGAGAGCAAAGGCCGGAGTCAGATGCGCGCGCGATTCCGTGAGAGGCTGGGCCTCTCGGGCGCACACCACGCGCACATCAACCCGCCGCGCCGCGCCGCGCCGGAAGGGTGGGTTTCCGATGAACCCGCCGCGGAGCCTCTTCCCGGAGCTGCCTCCGGCCGGCCACGCCCTCCTCCGCCTCGTGGACTCGTGCCGCGCGCCCGCCCACCTCCGCTCCCTGCGCGCCGCGCACGCGCGCCTCCTCTTCCTCCTGCGCCTCCCCTCCCACCCGGCCTCCGCCGCCGTCCGCGTCAAGCTCATCCAGGCCTACGCCGCGTGCGCCGCGCTCCCGGCCGCCCGCGCGGTGCTCGACGCCTCCCCCGACCGCACCACCGTCTTCTTCAACGTCCTCCTCCGGGGCCTCACCGCCGCTTCCCTCCACCGCGACGCGCTGCTCCTCTTCGCCTCCATGAGGCCGCAGGGCCACGCCTGCTTCCCCGACCACTACACCTACCCGCTCGCTCTCAAGTCCTGCGCAGCCACGGACGGGCTCGTTCTCGGGCGACAGATCCATTCCTCCACCGCGAGGCTTGGCCTGGACGGGAACGTCTTCGTGGCGCATTCGGCGATCAGCATGTATGCGCGGTGCGGCCGCCCGGACGACGCGTATCAGATGTTCGAAGAAATGCAGTACCGGGATGTTGTTTCTTGGAACGCCATGATTTCTGGGTTCGCACACGCGGGTTTGTTTGGCCGCGCTATGGATGTTTTCAGGGAATTGGTAGCGTTGCAGTGCCCAAAGCCCGATGCCGGAACCATGGCAAGCATCTTGCCCTCTATGGGGAAGGCAAGGGTAGAGGATATTGCATTATTGAAGGGAGTGTTTGATGAGATGAGGTTTAAAGGGCTTATTTCCTGGAATGCTATGCTTGCTGTATATACTAACAATGAAATGCATGTTGAGGCTGTTGAGCTGTTCATGAGGATGCAAAAGGATGGCATTGAACCAGATGCAGTGACTCTGGCGACTGTTCTTCCTTCTTGTGGAGAAGTATCGGCCCTTTCACTGGGAAAACGGATCCATGAAGTTATCAAGAGAAGAAGGATGTGCTCCAGTATGTTGCTTGAGAATGCCCTCATGGATATGTACGCAAATTGTGGATGTCTGAAGGAAGCTAGGGATGTTTTTGATTCCATGGGCACGCGGGATGTGGTATCATGGACTTCAATAATTTCAGCTTATGGCAGGCATGGCCATGGTAGAGAGGCCATTGACTTGTTTGAGAAGATGTGTGGACAGGGTCTGGAACCAGACTCTATTGCCTTTGTTGCTATTCTTGCAGCATGTAGCCATGCTGGTCTTTTGGATATGGGAAAACATTACTTTTATTCCATGACTAGTGAATTTCATATAGCCCCAAAGTTAGAGCATTATGCTTGCATGGTGGACCTTCTCGGGCGTGCTGGATGCATAAGAGAGGCATATGATTTCATCATGGTGATGCCTATTAAGCCAAATGAAAGAGTTTGGGGAGCCTTGTTAGGAGCTTGTCGGATTCACTCCAATATGGACATTGGGTTATTGGCAGCAGACAGTCTGTTAAGATTGGCACCTAAACAAACAGGATACTACGTGCTATTATCAAATATTTATGCTAGGGCTGGGAGATGGGCAGATGTTAGCATGGTGAGAAGTGTCATGGAAAGCAAGGGTATCAAGAAGTTGCCTGGTGTTAGCAATGCTGAGCTAGGGGATAGGGTTCACACATTTCATATTGGTGATACATCTCATCCACAATCGAAAATGATTTACAAGAAATTAAGTGAATTGTTACGAAGGATCAGGGAAATGGGTTATAACCCAGAGGTTGAGGCTACACTTCATGATGTTGAAGAGGAAGACAAGGAGGGTCATCTTTCAGTACACAGTGAAAAATTGGCTATTGCATTTCTTCTTATAAACACTAATCCAGGAACACCTATTAGGATAACAATGAATCTAAGAACATGTAGTGATTGCCATCATGCTGCTAAGTTGATTTCAACAATTGCCGGTCGAGAGATTATACTTAAAGACGTTAATAGGATCCACTATATGGTACAAGGAGTTTGCTCATGTGGGGACTATTGGTAAAAAGATATATGATAAGCACCTACTGCCTTTTGAGTTCACACCTTGGCCCTTGCTGCTTCGAGCATGAAGCTTGAATTGATCTTTATTGACTTGTATTTGCTTTTTGGTTGAGTGAGATGGAAATTTTCTGGAAACATTCCTATAGAAATGCAACATCCATATGCAACTTCCGAGTCAAAAGGAAAGAAGACAAACAAGATCAACCAATCTGAGAGACTGGTATAAAATTGCTCTAAGCAAAGATGAAATGTTGGAGGAGGAACTTCTACAAGGTAAATTACTAAACTGTAGGTCTGAACTAACTAATTAAGATCAAACTTGTTTTGACTGAGTAGGATTTAGCTTCTGTTACTGTTAATCTACAGCCTGCAAAAAAGTGCTCCAAGTTTATACATATGCCCATATGGAAGATACAATTGCATAAATATCGAAAAGATTGCCACGTTTCAATCCAGCGGTCCAAAATATAATAAAATATATTTGTTTATCTTATGGAATCCACAATGTTTTTTATTCTACGCGGTTAGTAAACTTTAATCAATAAAATGTGCAGTAGCCTGCATCACAGATTCACAACATGGGTATTACTTGGATAATCAACAGTGGAGAACGATCATTCTGGCGAACAAACTCAGGGTTATGGAAGGTGTTGGGTGAACAAAACTCACTGAGGTCGGGAATAATGTCACCAGAAAGCTGCCTTGGCCAAAACTAGCGCAGTTAATTATACAAGTTATTAGGTGGCTCCAACCTATGTAGAGTTATTTACCTGAGGACTCTCAAATAGAACTTGATTACATCTGCAACAGTTCTACTTCCAAAAGTCAGCCTGAAAGTCGAAGACCCAAATTGTGCTGCATTTGGAGGGTAGTAAAATACACTTGATAATGTAAACTCTGCATCTTACTTTTTCCAGGGAAAAATTATGTGAACTCATCTTACTACGCATCTTTCATACTTTCACAAATACAAGGTAATATCATCCAAAGAGAATTTATTTCTAGGATTCTAGCCCTGTTAAAAGTTGAAACAACATTTTCTTTTCTCCGAATTGATTTAACAGCAAATTTCCAGAAAGATATCTGTTTAATTCTGGGGCATCAGCAGGGTGCAGTGGTGTTGATCATGCATTTTGGTCTGGTAAGAGGCTGACAGGCAGTGTGGGCTTTGAATGCTTAACTGTCTTCATCAACGGCAGAGCTTTGACAGGGCAGTGAGGCACTTGGCACTTCACTTCAGCAATGAAAGGCATCATGAAAGGTATGGTGATGAGGATAGAATGGAATGTACCAATAGTGGGAAATGGAGATGGAGATGAATTTCAGAGAGGGGTCAGAGTTGGCATACAGACGTATGGTGTGGCTACCAGCCATGACTGATATCCAGAAAGGCTTACTAAGTCAGGTTTTTCTCTAGCTCTTGTTATTATTGTTCTGTCAAAATTCTTTCATACATCGATTGTCCATTATTCATGCTTCATATTTAGATGCTATGACACCTCTACCGTTGAAAAGACTAGCATGTCATACTCATTGAAAAGCTTCTTAATGGCAGGAGGGAAATCCATACAAAAATTTCCTTTACAAATATCTTCAAAATTTACAGAATAATAAAACTACGAACTCCTGCTTTGTAATATGACGGAATGATATAAACCGTTTGCTTAGTCCATGTGAAATCAAGGTCCTTAATTTAAAATCCCACGCAAATAAGGGGACACGCCATAATGTCTGGTAAGTTGTATAGCACTATAGCCTTCCGGAATAAGAATAACATAAAACATTATCCCATGCTGTAAAAGTTACAGGACTGGTCTATTCAGCATCTTTAGCAATTTCTCATCTTTAATCAGCACAGAATTACTCCATTGTACAAAACTTTCCTACACAAATCATTGGATTATCATTTGATGATTTCTGTTGCGTTTTATTGTAAGCAGTCCAATCTAATACATTTCTTACTTCCTAATGGAGTATTAACATTTTTTTTTCTTTTTAGATATGTAGTGCATCACAATATGTAACCGTGTATGTATATCCAGATTTGAGAATTTTAGAGTGAGTACGCTATCATTTGGATAAAACAAAATTGTGTGGTTAAGCTCTTGCATTAATAGAAAAGTACAATAGATAAGCTTGCTGCAACCGAGAAGATTGGCTTTCTAAGATAAACATACTGTATGTGTGGGCCAAAGAAGGATAGATAAGAAATTTAACTATTTTTCTACGGGAAATACACAATGATGGCCACCATGATGGTATCCATGGTATTACTACTACGATTTATGAAAGCTTTAGAAAATATGAGAATTAGCACCTCTTCTAATTGTTGAACTAAAATTTGAACCCTTTATCTTTTCCCACAGGAGACCTAGAGGCCTTTGTCTTAAATATCGGATAATGCATTTAGCATGGCATTGCCTTGTCAGCTCCCACTTGCCCTTGTTCTTCGAAGTAGCCAAAAAATAATAATAAACTGGACTACAGTTGGAGGCACGCAGAGGTATGATTGATTAGCTGCCTAGGGCTTACTTGCTTATTTAGTGCATCATAGCCTTTTTCTTTCACCCTAGACTCATTTGTAGCATCATTAATTGACTATTTTGGGTGCAACTAGTGCACAGCACTGAGAAATGAAGTGCTGTATACTTGTCCCACACACTTGTGTACCAGGAAAATTAGAGGCCTCTACTTAATAGGTGTGTGTCTCAAATTTATGGTCCTGATTGAAACCTTGAAGGTGAACTCTAGACCACAGGTTATATCAGTTCATTTTCAGCTCAAACCCAAAACAATATGCAATATTTATTGTCCAGAAAATATCAAAATAATCAACTGCCTGTCCTTTGCACTTGTCGGTATCATTTCAGACATCACTACCTTTCGACCTTTTTTTTTTTCCAAAAATAAAATAGTAGGTAATGATTTATGTTTCTGCGGCTTGTGATGTTCTAGTTTTTATTTTGGCTTTTCTGTTTTGTTCAACTAATCACTATTGCTTTCATTAACATTTATGTTCATCAATTTTGTAATCCATTTGCATATAGAAAAGAAAAGCCTGATTCTGCCATTAAATAACTAGTAAATATTCCTTATTTTACCATCAACTTTAATCTGCTATTGGATCAAATCGAACAGAGACTATTGTGATCGGATTTAGCATATTATGATATTAAGCAGAGCCTTTATACATTAACATAGCAGCACTCATCATAAGCTAGGTTCTTTTTAACGAACATCGTAAGGCAGGTTTATGCATGCATTGTAATTAATAACTTTCATTTCGCCTATACAGTTAATGAGCACTAGTCATCAATCATCATCAGGTCAAATATTTTTGAAAAATTATCATCAGGTCAAATCCATGTCATGTTTCTAGCGATGGCAATTCAGATATTGTTAGAACTTAGGAGGCACCAGTACGTTACCAAGTAAAATCCACCACTGTTGTGTTGCATTAACATGTTCTGATTTTCTATATAGCAGCAGAAAGAAAGCTAAGCTCTTGGCACAAAACCTCATGCTATGTGTGTGTGAACCGTCTTAGAAAAAGAAATCACAGAAAGGTTTAAGATTGAATCAGAAGCAATGCTTTATCTAACAACCACCACGGTGGGGGAAGGGAGTTGAATTGCCAATGTTGCTACCTTTAATGCTACCCCCGTGACACATTTGTTGGGGTGCAGCCCTCTTCGTGCGTGTGATGTCTCACCAGATCCAATAATTGGTGATCTGATCCTGCCTAAACATTAGGTGGCAGATGTGCAAGCGTATCTGCTGTTTTCCTTCTCATATTGTCCCTCACATCGTCTCTTGCCATCCTTTTCTTTGATGGACTTTTGAGTTCGTTTCTCTTCTCTGCCCCGGTAATCCTGCATGTTCAGTGGAATGTTACGTTTGTGTGACTTCTGTCTGTTTCCCTGATGCATGCATGCCATTGTGTTGGGAAGAAAGTAGAAAAGCGATTTAACGTCAACGTTTCTTTTTAATGTGTGGGCTGTACATGTTTGCCTTGGTTAGTACTTCACCCTGATGTGTTGTTACATCGGGTGACCAGGAGCTTTGCTTATGTTTTAGGGGATCAATTAGTAGACATTACGTTAAACGCCTGGTTGTTACTCAGAGCTTCTGAGATAATCCTCCAGCTTAATTCGGTGCATTTCTCGATCTCGTCCTTGTTTGATTGTCTCTTGTGAACTATTCTGTTTCTTTGATGCGTTTTCACCTGGTTTCGTGATTAAAAACATTAAATTTAATTGAGAGCTACGAAGTGCTTAATTACGTAGTAATACATGTATGCACCTTAGCATGTATGGTGAAGCGTGCAGGATCCAGATAGCTTTCCGTTGTACAAAAGGCGATAACTAAAAAAGAAATAAAAGTATATGCAAGTTGATAAGTTTTTGCTTTTTTAACTCTATAAAAGGATCATACATTATTCATACTCCTCCCACTTTCATGTCGAGAATAACTTTCTGGTACTACATTAAATTAAGATTTAAGCAGCGAGTTGGCGACGATGCAAGTGTCCTGCTTTCTTCAGGTAGTGTTCTTTCCTTGAAGAAATGGAACTTTTCTAATAATAACTTGTAAACGACAATCAATAATTCATCTCGAAGTGACTTGGTATTGTTCAAGACCGTACTCTTGTCCACAGTACTTTATACCAGTGGTCTAATATTTATTTTGATCGCTCTGACCGACACTCCAATTATGTTCGGCACACGACAGAAAAAGAGAAGAGAGCTGGAATAAAAGGGGCCTACCATACTGTACGAAAGACGAAATACTATAGCCTTACGTGGCCCAATTTGCCGAATGAAAACGTGCTTATTATGGCGGTCACTTGGAATGTCGATTGCAGTAAGCTAGGTTAACCTGTTATTCCAGGAACAGTTTTGTCGATGACCTGTTCATCAGCAGCACTGTTGCTTACCTTGCTTTTTCCCCTATGTTTCTTAATAAGGTTTCATCGTCACGCCGATGCCGGTCCGGCGAAAAAGTGTCATGCATAAACAACGTACATACACATTCATGAGCACAATCCTAATCCTAAGCTCATCTTTGCCAAATTTATTCTGATCGCCGCATTTATTCTGATACTTTCTCCCACAACGCTAGCTCATCTCGCCTCTTGGGCGAGCATATCCAGGCATACAGCAGTAGTAGTACTGTACTATTGGCAGATGTATATAACATTAATATAAATGTGAAAAATGCTAGAATGACTTAGGTCCTGTTTAGTTCACACCAAACTTTCCCTAAACTTCCAACTTTCCATCACATCCAAAACTTTCCTACACACATAAACTCCTAACTTTTTTTTTCAAACTACTAATTTTTTTTAAACTTCTCCCTAATTTCAGAAACTAAACATAGCCTTAAACATAGCCTTACATTATAAAACGGAAAGAATAGTATGTACCGTCTAGCACTGTTCGGTGCACTCCTCGTGCATGCGCTTCGCCGCCTCCTGTAGTCCTGTGCTCCTGCATGCTACGGATGCGCCACCCGCTCATCTGGCAGCACAGCGACGCGCCGGCAACTCCCTCGTCGTCGTCGTCTCCCCCCGCATCCGTTGGAGGCAAACCCAAACCCAACTCACCCAATATGATTGCATGCGTCGCGTGGCGTCGTCCGCCGTTGCGCCGTTGGACTACCTCGTCGGTGGACACGTGCTAGTACGTAGGAGTACGCAACTACGCATGGGACCTCTGTTCGCACTTCGCACCGATCTTTTGGGGCGCGGTTAATGACTGCGCTGCGATGGTGGGGGATATGCGTGCGTGGAAGGGGGAGAGGAGAGGGGCGCTGTTTCCTGCTGTTCCATTGGGTTCCTATGGATGATTGATTGGTTGGTCGGTAGAGAGGTGTCGGTGGCCGCGCGAGGCTGCTGCGTGACGGCGTGTGTGCGGGGAGGGATTTTCACGTGCCAAGTCAGGTGCGCGGTCGGAGATTTGAGAATCTTCGGCTCTAGGGATCGGTGAAAAGAAGCTGGAAACGAAGTTGGGGGGATTCTACGGCTCGTGGTAATCACTTCAGTTTTCCGTGTGTCAGGGTAGTACATGATTTGAGAATCCAAGTCCGGATTCCGGAGGAGTATGGGTGTGTTTGGTTGCAAGCCACACTTTGCCACAGTTTGCCACGTCTAAGGTTAGGCAAATTTGACAGGTGTTTGGTTGTAGCTACAGTTGTGGCAAGATTCCTCTCCAACAAATTGGGTCCCACGTGTCAATGGCTCAAAAAAGTGTGGCAAGATTCCCTTAGGCTTAGTAAGTTGTGGCTAACAATTTGATCACCTCACCTTAGACAAGGTGTGGCAACTTTTGTTGGCAAATAATAGTAAAGTGTGGCTGGGAACCAAACAGCCCCTATAATTAGGCCATCTGGCCATATACCATACTCCCTCCGTCTCAAAAAAAAAAAGGACAAACCCTAGTTTCCGTACCTAACGTTTGACCGTCCTTCTTATTTGAAAAAATTACGAAAAAATTAAAAAGACAAGTCACGCATAAAATATTCATTATGTTTTATCATCTAACAACAATGAAAATACGAATTATAAAAAAATTTTATATAAGACGGACAGTCAGAGTTGGACACGGAAACTTAGGGTTTGTCTTTTTTTTTGGGACGGAGGGAGTACGGGTGAGGTTGGATTTGTATTTTGTACGCATGCCACAATATGCATCATCAGTGCTAGTAGTACACTGGTACTGAGACTAGAAAAACAATCTTACGGAGTAGATTTTAAATCATTGTTTCATTCCATCCCTGCAACTAACGCTGTACTTTACTCATCATCGCGCGCGCAGAAGAATCAAGGTGGTCTCCACTCTCTGCCAGTCCAGCCTCCCTAACAAAAATTAAGAGCCCCTTTGAATCGCAGGGTAAAAAAAATTGAGGAATAGGAAAAACACAGGATTTTGATAGGAATTGAAGTGTAAAACAGAGGATTGCAAAATACAGGAAAAACACATGAATGGTCGTTTGATTGGAGGACAGGAAAAACGCAGGAATCGGATGAGAGAGATAGACTCAAAGGAAATTTTCTAAGGGGTTGGAGCTCTTGCTAAATTTCCTCCAAAATCCACATGCACTGTGCCATTCCATAGGAATTTTATAGGATTTGGAAAGCTTCAATCCTTTGAATCAAAGGGCCAAATAGGAAAATTTCCTATAGGATTTGAATCCTATGAAATTTCTATATAAATCATTTGATTCAAATGGGCCCTAAATAGCGATCTGATTACAAGTGAAAGCCGCTTCAGTTCAACACTAGTACTACGAACTCCACTGATCCAGTTACCCCCTTCCAGGCTTCCAGTACAGTATCCTCCGTTCTAAAAAAGAGAAGAAGTACAGTCTCATCTGCAACAACAAAGCCTTCGGCTTTCCTAAAGAGAAAGCGTGCAAGCACGGGCCGAGAACGGAGAGAAATTTATGGGAGTGGGGGCGCTGCACGAGTTATTAATTAGCTTCCCCGAATTGACGCCGAGTTCGAAGCCGCGATCCCACCGAGAAGAGAGTTCGAGAGTTGGAGGCCGCGATATCCCACCGAGCGGCAGGCCCCGTCGGTCAGCCGCACGCACGCACGCACGCGAGGTTGGCCCGTCGGCCGTCGCATTTACTGCGCGATCGCGTCAGGCCACATCCGTCCGTCATATCGCAGCGATCGCGCCTCGGTTAGTTCGCCGTCTCACCCGAGCAATCGCATCGAATCGGGAATCACTCGGCGTCGTCGCGGCTGCGCCGACCGCGACCCGCCACTGTCTCGGCGCCCTCGCGTCGCGGTGATCCATCGCGCGTGCAAGCAGCGGGCTCTCCTCACAGCGAACCCAACCAAAAAACCGGGACGTCGCGTGCGTGCGCCGCGTGCGGGCGTCATCTCGTGCGTGCGCGATGCCCGTGCGGGAAGGCGCGGCAGCGTGCTAAATGGCGGCTGAGGTCCAACTTTGAACACAAGTATATCTGAAAACGGTAAAACACATGATATGGTATAGCCGCCTTAGCGTATAATAAAGGTGGTAGCGTACGCGAGGAGGGATCGAGTCAACTCGTGTGGTCGTGTTGGGTCAGGATCATCTCGCAACAGGAAAAAAAAAGTCAAGATGGAAACGTACCCTTTGTTGGACAAAATACGGGCAACAGATTATATGCCACGTTGGATTTGAACATTGTATTGTTATGCCTAGGCCGGTCAGCGTCAGATACATAGAACCTACAGAAGCGTGATCAATACTCATGACATACATGCTTCATTTTTTTTTAGGGGTGACAGCATTTTGCGTTGATCAAAGAAAGTGTTTGCAGTTAGAGATGCAAGCGGGATGGGCAAGCGAGTTTTTTAATCCGCTTATCTCACTTCTAATTTACTTTTTCTTCTAAATTTTGAACTATTACGTAGAAAATGAACTAACAAGCGGGTTTTTATGTGAGTAACGGGACTATCCACTTGCATCACTATTTGCAGTTTGCAGTTGCACCTATAAAAAATTTGCACTACCACCTTGATGATACCTGTGTTGTTTTCGTGTGCCTAGCACCTTTGATTATACCCACTTCTTTTTGTCTCTGCAAACGAGTAATTCGTTACGGAGTAACTAACAATTGAAATTAGAAATACTGATAAGTTTGGTCCTAAAAAGAGTCCCCAAACCCTACCGATCCGAGTTGTCCCCGTGTTTTTCGTTTTATCTCCACTTCCGTGGATGCGTCGAATGACATGAAAATGACGTTTCATGGACCGCCACTTGTACGTACTACTCACCATTATTGATCGTGCACAGATCCGAAAACTTTCAGATTTTTAGATTAGAGTTTCACCGTGACAAGCCTCCCACATCTGCAGATACCAGCAAGACGTAACAATAACGGTTGCATTTGGGACCCTCATGGTTGAAGACTTGAAGTCAGCCTAAATGTCTATTGCTAAACCAATACCAGTCCTAATCAACCAGTAGATCAATTAAAACGATCACCATTAAGGGATGAGCGAATAAATCCTCCTCTAAGTGCATCGAATTTGCATGAGATACGGCAGTAACCCGGTCTTCAGGCTTCATTGTGCTACACTAATTGTGCATAAGTATAGCACAATTCTACCCACAGAAGCATCTCCCCTTTTGCAACATTGAGACGTCCAATTTGCAAAAAGATAAAGAATACAAGGGCAATTAACGATGGTCTTTTTTAATCATGTTGTAATAAGAGTGCCTTATTGTATTTTTGTGTTTTCTTAACTATAGTAGTATAAATTGTCGAACGATAATATGTTATGTTCATGTTGTATATGTTTTCTTTTCTTCTTTTTTCTATTGGTCGTGTGCATTCTTAGTTTTTTCTTAAAATAAATAAGGTGTCTTTAGTTGATGCAGAGGCCGAATGTTTTTATTAATAAATAAAATATTTTTTTATCAAGAAAATAGGACAAAAGATCATGTGCCAATCCAATCATCATCTATCAATCCCAAGGTTATATCTATAGTTAGGTGCCTTTTTCTTTTCCGAAAGAGCACCTCGATTCCCTTTTCCTTTATTTTTGCTACTCTGCGGTGGCTATTTTGCTCCCCTTTTCCTCCCTTTCTCGAGTAGGGACTGTGTATAATGTTATGGACCGATTATTATTCACCAATGGCACTTGTCCACCTCCATCTCCAATTTATCACTTTTTCTCTTCCTTCCCCCCAATCTGACAATCTCCACCGAGAAAATCCTTTCCCCTAGTTCTCATCTCACCTTTCTTCCTCGCATCATCACATCACAATTAACAAAACCAATCGTGTGGCGCGCGCACTCGCCTGCTTCGCGCACAAAACCAATAGTTTCTTCCCGTGCTCTTCTGCGCGCCCGCTTGTCTCTGTCACCGTCTCTGTTGTCCGCTAGCCTCCGCATACCGGCAACGTCGCGCGTTCGCGCGCGCGCGCGCGCGCCAAACAGCAGCAGCCTCCCCTCGCAAGCCGCCGTGGACGGTGGACCGCGACCGGGAGGGCGACGACCGGCTCCTCCTCCTCCTCCTCCGCTGCGCGGGCGGCCTCGTGCCTTTTTAGCGCGGCATCTGCATCGGCTGCGTGGTTGGAGTGGTTGGGAGACGACGCGCGCGAGGGCCGCCGATGGCGACGACCCCGCGGATGGGCGGCGTGGCACAGGTGCAGGTGCTGGTGCTGGGAGCTCGTAGTGGTTTTTCTATGCGCTCCGTGCAGCTGAGAGGCTTGACAACCCAACCAGATTTTAGGTGGTTAGCTCTGTCGCTTGCCGCGACTCTCCCTTCGTCTTGAATCCTCTTTTGGCCTTGGGTGATTATTATCATATATTTGCCGCTCTGGTCTCTTGCGCTTGTATCGGCCTCCGCCTTCCGGCCTTTCGGTTTGGATTCTGAGCTAACGGAATTCCCTTTCCGGTCGCGGCCTGTCGTCGCGACGACCGCCACTACAGTTTTCTATTCCACCGGAGGAGTTCCGGGTCGCACATTGGTTGCGGCAGCAAAGCCAGTGGTCGTATCTATCTATCTATCTACCAGCCACGGCGTGTGCTGGGGAAAGTCCACGGCGGAGGAGTAGTAGTGGTTGAGCTAACTGAGGCCAGCGTGAGGTCGTCACCGTATGGGCAAGCGTGTCACCTGGTGATTTTACCGTGAGCCGCCGCTGGGTGTCGCCGGCGTGCGGCTGATCGGTTTTGGGGATGGCGGCGGAGCACGGGGACAGCGTCGGCCGGTGCATACTGGTGGGGCTGCACATGGACGGCGTCGGCAAGGAGTTGCTGCAGTGGGCGCTCAACGAGGCGGCGAGGAGCGGCGACCGCGTCGTCGCCGTGCACATTTACCGCAAATCCGGTAGGTAACCTCGCCTCTGCAAGAGCTCGCCATGAAACTGCATGCAGCTCGGTTGATTCAGTCCTAGTGAAGCAAAAGCGAGCGGCTGCTTTTCTTGACATTTTTTTTCTTCTTCTTGTCTCTTGATTTCCGGAGATAACTGCAAGACGAACACGCTGAGCCTGATCAGGACGCTGGACGACTACCTGGCAGAGTACGAGGCACTCTGCAGCAAGAAAGATGTAAGCATGGGCACATCGCCGTAGTGAATGCTAATGGAGAGAGCTCTACGCCATGATGATGAGATTAAAATTTGGGTGCTTTTATTGTTGGTCCGTGTCAGATCGTTCTTGTCGGCCGGGTGACGCCGGGGAGCTCGATCCAGAAGGTGCTAGTGAAGGAGGCCAAGCTCTGCGCCGCCATGGTGGTGGTGATTGGCGCCAACAAGAAGTACTCATTCGGGTCAGTGATGCAAGCAGCAAACTTTGTATGATCCAACTGTTTGTTTCTTCCCCGTTTCTAACTCTCTGACAATAAAAACGTTTTTTTGTGGGGGCGTGTTGGTTCAGAGGCTCGACTTGCCTGGCCAAGTACTGCGCCAAGAAGCTGCCGGCGACGACCACCATCGTCGCCATCCAGAACGGCAAGGCCATCTTCGTGAGGGAGGCGCCCAAGCCGCCACTTGGTAATTAGTGCCTCTCAATCTGAGAAGTTTTAAGATGGTAATTGTGTTTTGGAAGAGTGATTAGAGGCTCCGTTTTGGGGCGGTGGTTGATCAGGAGCAGAGCCGAAGCCGGTGCTCCGCACGGTGCTGCACCCGAGCGTCGGGTTGGAGCCCAAGGTGATCATCCCGAACCCGAACCGGAGCGCGCGGTCCATGGACTTCGACGCCATGGGCTGCGGCCACGACGGCGCCGCGCCGGTGAGCTCCTACGACGACGCCACCAAGGTCGGCGGCGGCGGCGAGAGGACGGCCGAGCAGAGGCTCGGGTGGCCGCTGCTCCGCCGCCCGCTACCCGCGGCGGACGGCGCCGTGCAGCCGCCGCCCAAGGACGACGGGCCGCGCAAGCAGTCGGTGGTGCAGTGGGTGATGAGCCTGCCGCGGCGGTCGTCCCCGTCGACTTCGCCGGAGCCACAGGCCGGGCTCGTCGCCGAGCTGAAGCGGATGCTCGACGCCGTCCCGTCGCGGTGCCGGTGGTTCCGCTACGAGGAGCTCTACGACTCCACCAACCACTTCTCCTCAGGTTCCCACATTTCATACACATATCCCCATCAAATTCTTTCACCTTAATTTCAGCCACTGATTCCTCCTCCCGTTCTTGCAGAGAATCTGATCGGGAAGGGCGCGCACAGCAGGGTGTACAGGGGCAGCCTCGCGAGCGCGCAGCCGGTGGCGATCAAGTTGTCCAAGGCGTCGGCCGTGGCGTCGAATGATTTCCTCAGGGAGGTGGACATCATCACCAAGCTGCGGCACCACCGGATCGTCCCGCTCATCGGTGTCTGCGTCGAGGGCCCCAACCTCATCTCCGTCTACTCCTACCTCCACAGAGGCAGCCTCGAGGACAACCTGCACGGTAGAATACTATACTAGTACTGCACTACATTATTTTTACAGATATCTGTACAAGATACGCATATAAAATTCTGTACGTCCATACATGTCAGTAAGTCAGCCCAGAAAAAAATCATAGTTTTCTCGGAACAGATTAGCGTAGAACAGTTCAACTCGGTAAATTTTGGAGTTCATGGAAAGGCAGTTAGGAACGGTGTCGCTGTTAGAACGGTTGCATGTTCTTCACTCCATGATGTTTGACGCTACGAACGCTGTTAATTGTTGCAGGTAAGAGGTCGAAGCCAGCGCTATCGTGGGAGAAGAGGTACACGGCAGCGATCGGTGTCGCCGAGGCCCTGAGCTACGTCCACTCCGGCCACTCGCGGCCAGTGATCCACCGGGATGTCAAGTCGTCCAACATCCTCCTCAACGATGAGTTCGAGCCCCAGGTAAAATTGCTGCAGTACAAACCTTGGATTCATTTTTTGCAGTCGTGTTTTATTCCCTGAATTCTGAAAGACTCTGAACTCGGTGTCGTGGCAGCTGTCTGATTTTGGTCTGGCGATCTGGGCGCCGTCGAACCCGGGCTCACTGACGCACAGCGATGTCGTGGGGACGTTTGGGTACGTGTGTCTGCAACGTCGTATGCCATCACGTTGGTTCATGACTCATCTCGTCGTTGAACTGAAGGCGAAATTTGCTGGCTCTCTGTGCGTGCAGGTACCTGGCGCCGGAGTACTTCATGTACGGGAAGGTGACCGACAAGGTGGACGTGTACGCGTTCGGCGTCGTCCTGCTCGAGCTTCTCACGGGGAGGAAGCCCATCAGCGACGGGTCGCCTAAGGGCCAAGAGAGCCTAGTCATGTGGGTAAGCGTTACATCCTAAAGCCCATCATCACCTGTATGCTTTGCCCTGCGTATTAATCCCTAACTAACCTGTACACGGTTGGTTGTTGGCATGATAAACAGGCGAGTCCGATACTTGACAGCGGCGACATCTCAGATCTGCTGGACGCCGACCTGGACGTGAAGCACGACGACGCCGAGGTGAAGCGGATGGCCTTGGCCGCGTCGCTTTGCCTCAGGAGGTCGGCTCGCCTCAGGCCGAAGATATCGCAGGTGAAGCTGCTCGGCCCATTGTGTTAATTGTGTCGATCGTGTACGGGGAAACTTGTGTGACAGATCTGCTTTTATTGCTGCAACGTGCAGGTACTGAGCGTGCTCCGAGGAGAGAGCGAGGTGAGCCTCGACGACCTGAAAGCCGAGCCGGCGGACTGCGTGGACGACGAGACCTACCCGGCGGCGAACGTGAGGACGCACCTGGGCCTCGCGCTGCTGGACGTGGAGGACGCCGAGTCCATCTCAAGCACAGAGCACAGCAACCTCAGCCCCCTCGAGGAGTACCTGCGAGAGCGGTGTAGTCGATCGTCCAGCTTCGATTGACAAGCTTGCTGTTTGCTTTGGCTGCTTCCTTTTTCTTCTCTTTTTGTTACTAAATTTTTGTTTGGGGTTGGGTTGGCATTGTTTGGATACGGCTTACAAACACATGTACAGAACCACATGCGCCAAATTTTCGGCGATGAGAGGATTCTGGTTGTTCCAAAAAGAACCAAGAGAAATGTGAGCGCTTTGTACAGAAATAAAAGTTGCCCGTTGCTAATTTCTTCACAGGCATCACAGCAGATAAAACATAGTTCAATGTGAATGGTACAGATCAATTACAGGAATAAATAATGTATGGATTATAATCATCCAGCATGGCATCACATTATCCTCAACAACATGATCATTTGAAGTTCAATTGCTGCAATAAACGAAGCAAAAATACAACATTACATGAAGTTTGACAGGCTCAGCAACCTGAAACAAGAAACGCTCTGGAACAAAGCTGGAAAACTGTGGCAGGGAACCATAATCTCCCAGACCCACACAGCTCTCTCCCAACATCTCTCTACTTCTCACCTACTCCATCTCACTACACAAACCTAGAATGGAACCACATATGGCAACTGATAGACATGAAGGTCTGGTAAATGAATCGCCCTAGGCTGCAATGAGAACTGCTCTGCTGATTGAGAAGTAAGTGGATCAACAATTTCTCTGCAGTTGCCAATGCCAGCATCAGGTTTCCTCGTACTATCAAGCAGCCAATCCTGGTCCCCGAGATCCATATCATCCATTTCCATAGACGGAGGATCCCAGGTAACAAATAAATCTTTGAACTTCTTCTCTTTCTTCTCAGCCTTGCGGCTCTTTTTGCGATCTGACTTGGACTGCTTCTCTACTGATACTGAAGCAGCTTCAGCATTCCTGCCAGAGGAGCAAGGCTCTTCTTTGGGCTGCGAGGTGTCAATCTGCTGACGATTGATGGTAGGCATAGCCACAGGCACCTTCAGAATTGGGGGCTGTACTTCCGGCTTGATCTCTGTCTGGGAGACCTTCGTAAAAGATCGAGTAGCATCTATATGAACCTTGGATGGCAACAGAGGATCAATTCTCTGAGATGCCTTGGCAGGTGGAGGATCAACTCTTTGTGTAACCTTAGCAGCTGCAGGATTGACAATCTGTTTTGCCTTGGAGGGTGAAGGACCAACATTGGCCAACATCTCTGCAGGACGAAGGCCAATCCTTTCCTTTGATGCCCTCATAGATGGAGGAACATCGACTCTTGGCATGACTTTTGCTGGGGTTGGCATACCTTGTTTCGGTACTGCTTGAAAATCACCTTTGATGCTTTGCTGCTGGGTTGATGCTGTTCTCACCATCATTTCGGTGTTGTGTGGTTGCATTGAGTTTTTCTTACTTGGCAGAGATGAAACTGATCCCATTTGATGAACTGGTGTTTGTACAACATTAGATTTCTCCGAAAGGGAAGCTGAAGAATCTTGATCTCTTCTTATCTTTATTCGAAGGATGTTACCTGCAAGATGATAATTCAGGATAAGTCAAACCAATTCAACATCACCAGCTAAAAGAAGACAAATGCAAGAAAGGGCCTCACCATTCTTAGCTTGGCTAGGACTGGGTAACACAACCTTTCTTCTCTTGCTGCTGTCCTGTGAACTCTCTGGAGAGCCATGCTCTGTCTGAGTAAAGCAAGGAGCTCCATGCTCTTCTGAGAGTCCACTCTTCTCCAATTGCTCACCAGGTTCCATGGAGGAAACCTTCCGGGACTTCTGATCAGCATTATTGATGTCTTCATGTTTTCTCTTCTTGTGGTGGGTTCGCTTTGAATGCTTGGATATCTCACCATGTGGAAGAGCTTTCCTGTCACTCCTTTTCTCTTTCTTCTTTTCAGCCTTTTCCCTTTCTTTCTGGAGCTTCAGCCACCAGAGCAATCGTCAGTTCTGATTTAGAACGGACGACGGGAATGCAATGCAGAATTTTCTTTGAAATATATAGTAATGATGAAGTACCAATTTACACAAGCACACAGCAGGAAACAAATGTTGTGCTATCAGTTACAGAAGATAACACAATTAGGGCACGGACACTTCACATAGAATAATTTGATAATCCTTAATATATTTGTTACATGGTTAGTCACAGAACTGTAACCCTTACAATCATAACAAGCACTCTTGGCAACAGAGAATAACTAAACCTGCAGTAGTTTTCGAACTAAACAAGGATAGTCAGTTACTATTTCTATATGGTGAATGCAAAATTTTACCACAACATGTACATCTCACAAATAATGCAAGTATGCATCAACAGAATACATACATACAAACTGTTCATGTTACTTCATAGGCATAGAATTTGCAGGTCATGAAGGCACTGGATTACTTGGAATCTAGTCCAAGCGGAGATAACAACACACAGGTTACTCGTAACACACCAATAACGAGACAGCAACATGGATTCAAATTTACTACGGCAAAATGTGCTGTTTCCAGATTTTAACGACTGCAGACTCTTACATCCACAATTTTATCCAGCATGAGTGATTTCTTGCAACCATCGTCTGGGAGCACAACAATATATAGAAATGTAATTCGAACCTTCCAGATCAGACTTTTTTCCCCATGACTATTCTGGTTATTTCAGATTCAACGGCACAACCAAAATTAGCAAACCGAAGGTCAGTAATATCCTCTTTCCACGGTCAGCCACTAAAAGATTGGCGACCGATCTGGTCGAAGCGCGGCCTCACAAATCTCAAGTTATCCATGCAAAGGTTAGCTTCCCCGCACGTGCGATCCCCAAATCACACACGCACAACCAACAGATCCGATCAAAACCAACAGGCAAGAGCAAATGATCCGGCACGTGCGTGTGTAAATCCGATGGTTCAACAAACCTTAGTGGTCGCCTGCGCTTCGGCCGCGGCCACGGCCACCACTGGGTTTCGCACGTACCCCGGCGGCGGGTAGGGGAAGCACCTCGACATGGCTGATGCCCCGGCGTCCGGCCTAACCTCACCCCCGGATCACACAGAGGTAGGGGGAGGCGCGCCTCGCGCTAATCCGCCCGCGAATCGTAAGGGGAACCCCGATTCGCGGGTGGAATCCGGCGGAAAAGGATCCCGCGCGGCGGGATTTGGTTTCGCGTGGCGGCTAGGGTTTCGCGGATGGGGAAAAAAAATTAGGGTTGCGGGAGGGGAAGAAGAGAAAAAAGGGAGCCTCTTCGAGGGCGCGGGGGGTGAGGCGATATTTATAGCCGGAGAGGAGGAGCCCGAGTCGTGCGGGGAACCAACTGGGGGCCTCCTCCATTTACCAGGTGATGCTCGAGACGGTATCACTGGCACACGGGACCGGGAAGATTCGGGCCCACACGTCAGTGGGCGTAAAGGAAAGGCGGGTGGCTTTGGTAGGCAACGCAGCGGGGGTGGTGAAGCGGCGGGCCCTGATTGGCCCGTGGTGTGGGACCCACCCGTAAGCGAGGGAGAGGGGGAGGTTGAGTGAGCGCGTAGCGCACGAAACGTGTTTTCTCTCGCTGGTTGGTGGGGCCCGCGCGGCGGGAACCGACCTAGAAGCATCGGCAATCGCGTGGCGGCACGTGGGACGCCGCTCCTCCCCCTCCTGGCCTCCTCCCGTGCCAGCCCGGCATGAGCCGTGTGACTCCGTGTGTGGTGCGAGGCGAGCCGCGGAGGCTTTTGGCGGTTGTGCCTGTGGCGCGCGGCGGCGCGGAGTTCGCGCGAGATGATTTTCGGGTTTTTATTTTAGGACTGACTATACCTCATGCGCGACATATTTTCTAGCCTTCTATCATGCAGATTTTTCAAGCCATAGGATAAATATCTAACAGCTAAATTTAATCTCATCTATTTAAATTTAGGGAGTAACTATTCAAAAAAATAATTGGCATATATTTACATTGTAAGTTCCTAAAATATGTAATTTTAGTGTATTTATGATGTAAGTCATAAAATTACATATGTAATTTTAGTGTATTTACGATGTAAGTCACAAAATTACATATGTAATTATAATGTAAGCACGATGTAATTAGTAAGCGTGGATCATAAACAAATTAGCAGTAGAAAACACTACTCAAATGCAAGGAAAAAAAGCAGACGTGTGTTTCGAAATTAAACGGTAAATATGTGGGACCCACAGAACGCAACAACAAAGTCCACAGAACGCAACAACAAAAGCCCTGTCCATCTCAAAGCCGTGCCTGACTTTGCTCAATCCAAATGCAGCACGAATTGTAAACAGAGATGAATGGTAAAAAAGTGAAAGATTTAGCACCCTATTTTCTCTCAGTATAGCGCTAGCGATTCCGTTTTATTTTCGAGCAGCCGGCCAGCCGCTCAGAGCGTTTTTTTATTATATTTCTTTTTCGTTTTTGAACGTAACCTCTCAGATACCAGAGGGTTTGTATCTTGGAGTTGTTTCGTCTCGTATTTTTTTGGAGTTGTATACCGAGCGGAAACTTTTTGTTTCTTTTAATCATCAGTGGGATTTTATTCATGTAGGCTGTAGGGCGCGCAATGGTAATAGTTTTCTTAAACAAATTCCAGTCCGGACCCGGAACAGGGATATAGTTTTTTTTTCTAGTAAAAGGAGCCGGGATTTAAAAAAGTGAAGACAAGCCACACGGAATTCAGGATTTTGTCACTGGTAAGCTATTTTCATCATTCATCACTAGATGGGTTGCGCGTTCGAGAAAAAAAAAACTGCCAGCCCCTAAAATACGAGAATGGAATTGGTAGCAGCGTTGCAGCAATGTCATCCCGACCTGTAATGATGTGCCTTAGCTAAATGAAATTAGAGATAGCAAATGCTAGTACTGATCAATGATATCTGAAGGCAGTACAAAAAAAGTTACAGGCCATACTCAGATTATACATTGCCCACCGGCAAAAGAAGCAAGAGTAAATGATCCAAATCAAAACCATGAACAGCACTGTTGGTTTCAGAGAGGCACATGTTGTGTGCTTTTGGGAAGCAATATCACCCACCCCAGATTAGCAGTCAGATCAAACATTGGACTACATACTACTAGGGGTGTCTTTAGATTCGAAAATTTTTTTGGCAAGAAAGGTCACATCAATCAAATGTTTAGATATATACATAGAGCATTAAATGTGGAAAAAAAATTAATTGCACAATTTACATGTAAATTGCGAAACGAATCTTTTGAGCCTAATTGTTTCATGATTTGATAATGTGTTGCTACAGTAAACATTTACTAGTGACAGATTAATTAAGCTTAATAAATTTATCTCACAGTTTACAAGCGAAATCTAAATTTTAGAAACGGAACTAAACACGGCTTAGGATCCTTTGGAAGGCAGGAAGTTCAAAGGAATTAACTCAATTCCCACAAAATCTGCAAAATTCATCCATTCCAAAGGACACCTGCCCATGAACTCCAGCTGATGATAAGACCAATTTTTCGCAAGTGTGTCACAAGCAAACATCCATAAATCATTAGTCATTACAATAGTGCTTGGAGTGACTAGGGAGAAAACTGAACTGCCATGCTACAGATGTATCTTAAGGATTACACAACAGTCACAAAGATAGGACACATGGCACATCGCATGTATAGGTTTAATGTTCTCGCAGACATAGTTGAAAAACACAAAATTCTAGCAAATAAGACACCATCACCAGTCCAAGCCTCTGAAAAACTGTGTCGCTCTGAGGCCCATCACACTGAAAGGTCTTGGTAAATCAAATGAGGAGCTTCTCGATAGCATCCTGAAATTTATGACGAAATTCAGTTAAACTGCTAAAATAGAGATAACAGTCTCACAGTTTTCCAGCAAAGTACTAGATGATCCAAAGGTATGGTTACCTTGAGATTCTGTATCGGTGTCTTCAGCTGACTGCCCTCGTTGCTGGTCACTGAACAAGCAATGACAGGTCTAGTAACGCCACATGCGCGGCCAAGGGCTTGCTTCGAAGGGACAAAAACATATGGAACGTTCTGTCAAAATTAAAAAAAAAACAAGTGAGTTATTTTTTCCTCTCCATTTCAGGACAACAAAAATAAATGAGAAAAGCATGGTCAAGAGGAGAAATATGCAGAAGATGACAGCTATATCACAGACTGAAAAAAAATGTTGTGGCATTTGTTCACTACTCACTGCACAATTAAGCATAACATTGAAAAACAGTAAAATATGAGTACTAGAATCTATCAGTCTACAACAATCAATGAATTCATAATTGTAATGTTTCGGGCAGCAAGAAGAAACGGAGCCAATCAAAAAAGAAGAGTTGGAGCAGTTTATTTGTGTTCATGACCAAAAAGAACAGTTGGGAGTTATCTGTGTTCATGACCAAATAACAAGCAGTATATCACTTGTGTCCAACAAGAATAAAGACCACAAAAACAATTCAGTGTGCAAAGCAAGGTCACTAGCAGCCAAGGACTCAAAACATCATCCAAGATGTATTCTGCTAATGAGCAAATATTGGAATTTGTAGCACGAACCACCAGAAGAGGGTGGTTAACACTAAGAGCACAATCAAACACTTAATTCTATCAATGAAACAGTCCAGAAAACATGACGGTGGACCAATATCGATAGTCCACAATACCACACGAACAAAGCTTGACAGCTCTAGCAAATAACAACTAGTCAAACAACTCGATTACTCCAGATACCAAGTCTTAAGGTACAAAATTTTAATAAGAACGCTAACTATAGGAAGCAGAGATGATATACATAGCAAGGACAAAAAAAAGTTAAGGAAAAAAATACTACCTTATCCTCCGCGAGCAGGGGGAGGTGGAGAAGGATCTCGAGCGGCTCCGTGTCGGCCGCCATCACCACGAACTCTGATATACCCCTGTTCAGGGTCTTCGTCGCTGCGCATAGGCACACCCAAAAAGAAAATCAAACCGCTGGAGCCAAACAAAAAAAAAACAAGAGGGACAATTTTTGTCTGGGGATTAAACCTTCGTTGGCCCCCTTCTTGAGCTGCTTGTAATTGGAGGCCTGCTGGACGAGGTCGAGGATGGTCATCGTCAGCTGCGCGTCCGCCAGCGGGTAGGCCTTAGGGTTCACGACCTCCTGGCTCTGCACAGCAACCAGAACGAGCGAACGAACAGGCGGGCGGTCAGGCTCGAATCGAGCAGCGTCGGCGAGAGCAAGCGAGGGAGGGAGGAATCGGGGGCGAGGAGAGAGGCGTCGCTTACCATTTTCGCGAGGTGGGTTGGCTCGGCTTGGAGGAGCTCGCGCGAGGAGGAGGAGGAGGAGGCGGCCGCCGCGGCGGAGGATTGGGGGAGCTCGCGTGTCGCTAGGGCTTTCGTGTCTGCGTGGAGCTAGGGTTTATCGCGAGCGTCTCCTCATATAGCCCGTTGGGCGGGTGGATTGGACGGCTGCGATTGCCTTCGAGATTCTTCCTCTTTTTTCCCCTTTTCTGTGCATTTCGTTTTCACCCCCCCCCCCCCCCCCCCTGGCGGCTAGGCTCGGAGATGGGCTTGCACTTGAGGGCCCCTCGAATCATAAGGCCTCTTTGGAATATATTACTACTAAGTTTTTTTTTTGAGAAAATTCATGGAAATTTAACTAATTTCTGCTAAACTTGTTTCTAACAAAAAGAATGTTAATAAACAAAGAAAATTCGTGTATTCCAAAGAAGCCATGAGCATATTTCACAATTTAATTTCCATAAAAAAATTTCGAAAAAAATTCCACTTCCTCTCAAATGAAGGAATTTGCGGGATTTTCGTGGGGAGTGAAAATTATATAAAGCTAGATGGTATCCTGTTGTTGCTATGGGAGAATTATGTGATAATATGGTAGGTATGAGTTTTAAAATGTTCTTACTTACCTACTATATAACTTTTTTTCATGTGTTTATATACTCTTTCACGTGTCTATATATTCTTGTATCTTTATCAATTATCCAAATGTTATGATTAGGTTGAATGGTGTTTTTAGTCGAGAATAGATGCAATTTACACCCTTAATGAATCATCCAAAAGCTAAAAACAATTCAGATGATATGATTTCATGAGAGAAGAGAGGATTAACATTAACTCCACTAAGTGATGATGAACTTTATATATGAAAAATTGGCATTGGACAAATATGAAATATGCTATGCAATGGCAATAGATAACACAACTATTGCGGCCATGAAGCATTGGGCAATTGATCTGGTACACGGCAGGAGAAGCTTTATTGTAACCAAGCGATTGTGTGAGCTTTTTTTTTTTACAGGAACACCAC